TCTTTATTTTTTCACAATATTATTATCTCCTCGTCAGTTTCAGCACGATTCACTGGCTACCCCGTATATAAACGCTTCGCGCGTGCAGATGCAATCTTACCAGCAAGAAAAATCTCACCTTTGCTAGTTTAAATTGCTCAACCACACGGTGCGAACAAGATACATGGTTCTAGTAATTCGGAGTACTTCTTAACGTACAAACCGAGACTTTCTGATATCACAAATCCCCTTATACGAGTGGCGAACATAATCTCAACGATTTCTTCGGCGCAATAATAGTCATAGAGCATAAAACTCTGTGTAACTTCCCGTAAAAATCTGTATTTTTATGTTTCGATATAAAGATATAAGTATTAATTATAAACAAGAGATATACAAATAGACATTCATTGATATAAGCTTACAGTATAAAAGAAAAATTGTAGATATTCTACATAATCTCTTGTAACGTAGTTTTGTCTGATTGCCGTCTCAGAATAGGTATTACATTCGAATGGTATTTCTCTAGTAAAGCCATAGTTCCATCGATATAATTTCGTCGCGTGTACATTTCTTACAATCATCAGAAAGAAAGAAATGGCGAGCATTGGTAAAGTGAATTCGTGTGTAAAGCCTGACTGGGACTGAAAGAGGCACTCAAAGTGTTCGAGGTCCTTTAATATCACACGTCGTGACACTAGGAAATAAAGTGGAGAAGGCGGACACATTAGTCGCACGCGGGCGATCGATTTCGTATACCTATACATGGTATAACATACATTAAAAAGAAAGGGATATTTTAATTATAGAATATTTTTGAAATTGCTCAGGAAAAGTACAATTAAGATATTTAATAAAAATAAAAAGATCATATATTATCAGCAATATTTCCAAAGATTCTCTACGATGTTTTCATATCCTTTTAAATTCATTAATGTATAATAACACAAGGACCCGCAGTAGACTCGTAAAACATTACCGTACAGTTTATGTCCTCAAATGTAGATAAATACGCGCGTTTCCCGCGCGATATTCACAAAAATATAAAGATATTTCTGAATAAAGACAACAGTGTGTGTATACATATATGTATGCGCGCCGACGTATAGCAACGGTATATTCGAGGCAAAGCGATAATTTTAACGAGTGCAGGTAGAAATGCGAATATGCAACGTTGGGCAAATGGGGATGAAGTACGGACGAACGCCAGAAGAAGAAATGCGTTATTACGTGCTTACAGTATCTAGTCCCCGGTAAATATGAATGGCTTTAATATTCCGTAAGCACGAAGGCGCCACTTTTAAAGTTCATGCATATCCCGGACGTGACCAGAAAATATTATGGAAGCCACGCAAAATCCCGCCTCGTCCGCGAAGAGAAGGTCCGGGCTTCTGTCTCGAGTCTTGGTGTGAGACGAGGCTGCACACTGCACGTGGCTAAAATGAACCTGTCATGTATTTCTTGCCACGTATTTTCCACGTTGCCGGGAATCGTCATCCTCGCGCTCGCGAGACTCATCCGCTGATCAGAATCGGTGAAGAATGGTGGAATAATCATCGCGACTTCGCGTGTCAATAATAATGTTCGCTAAGCTATAAAATTTTTCAATCCCAACGAATCCGACAGAGTGAAATTGATGGATTTTATTTAGAGAGAATCTCCTCGTCCTCGACAATTGCGAGATCGATGCCAAAGAGATGATAACGTCATCGTTGCGGAAAAGGATCGTGGTGTATAACGATGAATCTAATGAAGCAAGTCAGATGTTGGCGGGGCAGTATTTAAATGCAAACGAGGTCGCGGGCGATCGGACACTCCGCCAGTTTCGTGCCCGACTGCGTGCGCCATTTGATTAACATTTTCATCACGACAGCCCGAAAACTTTGCAGAAAATCCGAGATTACAAATTTTCATTAAAAACTTTTGCGAGCGTACCCTGCGTAAGTCTGAACTATCGTCTATGGGGCGCCGCGAGGCATCTACATCGTTTCCTCGGGTTTATGTTAGGACGTGGTGTTACCATTTTGACTTTCGCAATTAATGTAGCTAATATAGATTGGTATCGTTGACAATGAACTACATTGGCAAACTGTTTCAAATTATTTGCAATGCATATATGAAAAAGCATGTATAATTTCATTATTAAATAGCTTTTGTGAATTGAACCAATTAAAAAATAAATTCAAGAAAAGGTAAGAATTTGTAATGCAACAGTAACTTAAGTAATAAATATTTCCAATAAAAAAAATAAATGTCTCAAGAAAAGGAATTGAATTTGTAACAACAAGTACGAAAGAAAGCAAGTAAAATTATCTTCTCTTCTCAAATATTTTCTCATACCGTCTTCAAATAATCTAATTTCTAATTCTAAATAATTGTGACGTATGAAAACGCTTGTAAATGTATATATATAAAATCCTATCGCGTGTTCCAAAGAACGATACATCTATTCTCGAATTTTTTAATAACATTATCATTAACATTATCGACACAAAATCGATAAAATGATCAGAGAAGAATGTCGCCTCGAGTAAAAATTTCTGAAAAACCTCTTGTCAAAAATGAATATCATGTATTCATGTGATGCATTCAAATTTACAAATCTATCTCGTTAGTAGATCCTATCTTAATAGAACCCGAAACAGTTCAACGTTCTCTATCGTGATTTATTGGTCACAAACAGAATTTCGAAGGGCGGCGATATGGCGCGTGTCTTATCTCGATACCGAATGCTGGTTCCGGCGAAATTCGGCGGGGATTATTGTCTTACGGCAACAATAAACGGGTCGATTCGCGGCGCATTTACATAAGGCACTTGCAGATGCGGGAAACTGGAACGAGGTCGCGTCGAATAGATAATTACCGTGAATTCGGCGCGCCCCGACGGGACTAACTAATCGCAACTCACTGCAACCGCTAACTTTCCACACGCCGCTAATGTATCATCGACCTACGCGAATTTCGAGAGCCCGGCGTGTATATGTATGTACGTGCGTTGAATACGTATGTTATATGTACAACAAGGAATGCTTTTAATCTATCTACCAGAAATATTTATAATTCATTAATTATATAGTATAGCAGCAAGAGAAACGCTACCTCCTTTTGCATACCATATCTATGTTTAACAATATCTAATTGCCGAATTTAATCTCAACACTTTCTTAATTATACGATTTGCCAGTAGCGATGATATATTATTCCTACACGGAGAGAATTTTCTCTTAGAATTTATCCTGAAAATCATGGTAATCATGGACAATATGGTAGTGGAAGAATTTTATAAGAATTTCTCTGATTAATATTTATCACAAAAATATTAATATGTACATAGTAAATTTTAGTACGTACGTAGTAAAATTCATCGAACATAATTTATATTTTATTGTGGTAGATATATTATTATTTCTATTGTGGTAAATATTAATCAGAGAAATTCTTATAAAATTCTTTCAATACCATATTGTCCATGATTATCATGATTTTCAGGGTAAATTCTAAGAAAAAATTCTCTTTGTGTATAAATAATTATATTATCCGCTAGAGAATTGATCGATCGCCCATCCAAACGATTTTTCGGATTAATCATCGCGACACGTTTTGTAAATAATATTTATTACTCCAAAATTTACTCCAAATTTTATCCTTTTATTTCTCGAAAAATGTAAAAGATAACAAATGCAACAGCATTAATATACTTGTGAAAAAATATTCTATTATTTTCTCATTCTATTCTATACTAATAATTGAAATACTATTGTATATATCTATAAAATTATTATTATTAATTGTTAATGTTTCTATAATGATTATCAATGTATGTGTGTCTAACGGAAAAAAAACGATAAAAATTGTACGATAAAAATTCATTTTCGATATTTATTAAAAAAATTTCTTTTCAAAATAAACAATTCAATTATTTTCTAATTGTGTGAGCATCACTCAATTTATTAAAACATTTTAGATATTTTCTCGCATAAGGAAATTCAAATTAAGTGTTTTCCGTATTTTTTCAAAAATTATTTTCGTAATCTAAAGCATGTAAATGATATAAAAATAGTTCACGCATTTATTCGATTAAAAAAAATGAAATAAAAACGTGTGAGCGATAAATGCGATTATTCGCATGAGTTATCATTACACGAAGCCGGGACATTTGAATTGACATCGTATCGCTGCTTTCATTCACGTCGATATAGATTGATATATCATTGGCAATTGTATTACAAAGGCGTCTAGTCGATTCTCGTAACAAATAGATGCATCCTGTCGCTAGAGAGGCGCGCACTTGACGACGCATAGCTTTTCGCTGCGTTTGCTGTCTGTAATTACATCATTGTGTCCTTACACCTGGTCGTACACATGAGCAGCCATGCAGATCATGGCAATTATCACGCTAATTACGACAGAACTAATCAAATGATCGATGCAAATCGGCTAAAATTTATGCTATCTTATTGCTTTTATTTGTTCGCGATAAGAGTATCCCTGTTTTTTTCTTTAAATAGAAAGAAATATATTAATCATATTTACATTCTCTTATTTACATTGCTCTGTGTAGATAAGATGTTTAGAATATAAGATAAATGTATATGTATATTTTGTTCGTTTTAAAAACAATTTGTAAAGAAACGCTGCTATTCATTTTTTTTTGCAAAGATAATATTATCGACACTTTATCATCAGTCCTTTCATAGCTTTTTCACACAAAATCAGCCATTATTTGTGTAGGTCATATACATTGCATATCAGCACTGACCTTAGATGCGCCTCTGCTCTCTGAGAGAGAAAATGAGATTTTTTTTCTATTCCATAAATATGCACATGTCCCTTCCTCTTATATATTACCTCTTATATAATATTCTTAAAAATCTTCATTTAACACAAAAAAAAATTCAACAGATAATAATAGAATCTCTTATCTACAACTATTCTTTTTATCATTCTGGAATATTTATTTTTTGATTCGTTGTTGAACTCCGCTACTATAGCCATAATATACTTCGATCGTTTATACAAAGGCGCGCAGCACCGCGAAGATTCCTCATTCGTATCGTAGCCACTTATCGAGCTGTCTGCCCGCCGGAACGAGCTGTTCAGCGTGCTGTTACAAAAGGCAGGACGTATGGTATCCAGCCGGGAAGCAATTTCGGAGCGGGGATTCAACGAGGCATTCGCGCTGACGAAGAGAACGGATCACCCACGTCATCAGCATTACGCAATCGGCCTGTTCGACTTATCTCTAGAAAGCAGCATTCTTTCCTCGAGTTGCAGCATCTGATACGGAGAACCGGAAATTTGTTTTCTCCAAGAGTGATCAGGTACTATATCTTTAATATGTACAATACGTTAATTCTATCGCTGATGTTATCGCGATATTTACATATCTGGTATTAATAATAAAAATATGAATTAATCATGCGCGAAAAGGAAGGAAAAAATAGACTTATTGCAAATACTGTCAATAAAATCGATACTTGTAAAGTTAAAAATTGTTAAATGACAAATGTAGATTAATGTTTTATCAATAATCAAAGGCTATTTAATTTTAAAAATAGTAACGCGAGTAATAGAAATTTAATAAGTAAAATTCTTCGAACATGTGCAGAATTATGCAGTAATTTTCTAATTATTATTCATTAGAATTTCTCTCTATATAAAATGCAAATGGTAAAACACCTTATCTCAAACACATATAATGTCACATTACACGTTACACAATATTATATAATGTTATAGTACACGAGAAGATTATATAACACGAAGATTGAGTCATTGTATACTTATTGATAAAAACTTGCGCACGTTAAGCGCATCTATTGCAATGTTTCAATTTTACCGAAAGGTATAGAACTTTATGAGGAAACCGCGCTTTTGAGAGGAGACGAATAATCGAGAATAGCAAAAGCAATTTTAAGCTTGATTTATCGTCGATCTCCAAAGGAAATCGCGGTCCGCTTGACGCCCGCAGGGGTTCTGCAAGTAAGAAGAGAACCAGAGGTGTCCTTCTTTCCTTAATCCTAAAAGAGAAGAAGGTGCGACGCGATGAGACTGGAATTTTATTTTCGGTGAAGAGGAGATAACGATTCATCTCGAAGGCAGCTCGGCATATCGGTTTTCGATTTGCTGCCGGTAATTTTAAGGGAATGGATCGTACGGCTAAAATTTGCACTCGAATTGCTGCGATATAGCACATTGCGTTATCCGATTATGTTAGTAATCCGAAATGCGGCTATACGTGTGGTTAATCGTAGTTATATATAATTCTAGAGAGAGAGAGAGAGAATAAGATTATACAATATATATATATATATGTATATATTTCGCAAGACAAGAGGACACACATTTTTCCTTGAATAAATGTTAGATTACTGAAAAATATGTGGAAAACGCATCTAAGTTATCGCGTATTCAAAAATCAGTAATATATATGCAAAAATGAGATAGTACTCATCAATATGATAACGTGAAATTAATAGTTCATTTAAAATGCTTGTATCATTAGAACATGTTAACAAAGCACTATCTTTATTTTCCTCATAATCATTTGTCACTCCAAGGCAAAATTTCATTACGATTACCATGAATTTCGCAAGTGAAGATTATTTTTCGATTGGATAAATTTTCATTTTAGTCGCGCGATATTCGTGATGTGGTCGAAATTTGAAGCCAAATATATCAGCGGAAAGGACGGCCTTTTATGGTTAAACAAAATACGCATTGATGCAATCTGAAGCGGCTATGCAAAGCAGCTGTCGACGAGCAATAAAGCGCGTGTTATGACGCCCGTCCGATTTCGTCCACCGTAACGTTCTATTCGGTAATTCGGATTTGCGTTCGACATGTTTGCGGAAGTTTCCGGTCGCGAGTCGCGAATTTAATCACAAATGATGAACGGCGAATTGTTTTAATGAAGACACAAAATATGTTGCTTTTGCCAGACGAGTTTATTGATTTATATATCTGAATGATCGCGCGCTCTCTATGAAAATAATAATCAAATACGGAAATAATGTTTTCAGTAGATATATGAAAATTCTCTCGATATAATATCTCTTAGTTTCAAAATTTTCGGATGATACCTGAATGAGTATCATGTAGATTGGTCCACGTTATGCTTATAGCATAAAATCGTCATAAACTACAATGTTACTCAATTGAAAAAAAAAACATCACCATTTAGTACTGAAAATCCTCAACGTATGTATGTCTCAAAATATTAACAATACTATTAAAATAGCACAAATTAAAGATTCGAAGAATATTAAAGTTTAAAAAATAATAACCCTGGCAATAATTTAAAAATATGACTTCTATAAGAAGTGAATTTATATAATATGTTTTCTCAAACGTAAACTATCATCACTTTAAATACAAATACAATCTCTAAAATAGTTTTAGAAAGTTTAAGGGTGAGAGAAATTAATATTTTACAAAAAAAGAAATTAAAAATTTAAAAGCTTTCATAAATTTTTGTCAAAAATATGTATACCTAATATAAATATAATATAAATTTGACATATAATAGAAATGATTATTGAACTTTGTACTAAGATCTTACATAAAACATTTCATACGTCACCTTGTTTTCCATACCTCGACGATAACTAGTTGCAGTTAGGTAGTAAATATTCAATTAACATATATATTTTTAACGGAGTAACACAAAAGATAAACAGGTATTATTTATTACTTAGTCTTTAATTATCATATCGTTATTTAAATATAAAATCCTCTATTTTTGATAAATCACTTCGTTAAAAATAAAATTAAAAATGTACACAGTTAAAAAATTTGTGTTAAAAATAAATAATGTCCCAAACGGTTCACAGAAATTTTCGTGTTAATTTAATATAATATGGATATGTTAAATGGAGACACAAATATTGTAGTAATATTTTGACACGAAATAAATACAAAACTTCAAGTAATTTAAAATAAATTTTGTGTAAAATTAATATAGTTTTAATGTAAAAATTAACTAAAAATATACTAATTTTAGATTTTATCATCCCCTTATATTATAAAACAAAAAATCAACATTTTTTCTGTAAATTTGAACAGATAAATTTTGTCACTAATAAAACAGAAGATATTTATTGTGTAAAATTAAAAATAGATGCACATCATGCTATTTTTACATCTTTTTTTAGTTGTTTTAATAATTTAAGTTCAATTAACACAACAGCAATATGTTAAATTAACATGAATGTATTAAATGTTTAACACAAAAATTTTAACGGGGACCGTTTTTAACATGAAAACAAATTTTTTTACTGTATCGTATTTTTCTGCAAAATTTATCCTTTTAGTATACATAATTAGAAACAAATTTATCTTATCTATGTAAAAATGTCTTGTCGTGACTATGGAATATTGTCAATTTATAATAGATACATTTTGCTGTCAAAAAGATTATTATTAAAAAAAACTCAATCCATCTATAATATAAAAGCGTTTACATGTCAACGCTGATTTTGACATTATAAAACGATGAATCTGCAAGGAACTAGATGCAAATCGATAAATAAAGTGAAGTAAACACAGAATGTAGGATCTGCTTTGGGGATGAAGTAAAATAACAAAATGCATCTATATTTGCAAAAAAAAGCCTCTCTCTCTTCTTTTCTTTTCTTTTTTTCTTTTTTTCTGCTTTTTTTCTTCGTAACGCATCGGCCGCATATGCAATCGATGACATCCTGCACACAGCTCAGCTGCGGTTAACGGTTCAATCGACTGATTTCTCTCAATAATATTGTGAAATTTACATCTTCCGAGTGCAATTCGAAAAAACAAATCATGCGCAATACGAACGGCATTCTCGAGATACGAACGGCAATTTTCATGCGGCGAATCTCACGATGCGCTCTCAATTATTTTCGATGCGGCGTCGTTATTATTTTCGCGGATGCTGTTCGTAAGTTATTTGCAACGCGCATCCCTCACCGTGTCTCCAAATTTGTATTTTGCACAAACGATAGAATGATTCGCCGAATTATCCGGTCGACAATGCACAATATGTCGTCCTGTTAAATAATGTGTAAATCGAACGAATTCCACCCAAAATTTGCAACGTTAAATGCGAGCGAAATAAATTTCGCGCGAATCAACGCATTTTCGCCGATGTATAGTCCATTAATATAATTCGTGCCTTTCATGTGTCATTATTAATTTTAACAATCTGCCGATAAATATACGGATTTGCATATCGATCGATTCGCATCGCGATTAACAGCAGTACTTATCCCCATTTTTAAGTTGAGAAATTTTTCATACTTACAAAAAATATTCAAAATATATAATATTATATCTATATTTATATACAAATATACGTAGTAAAAATATGAATTATAATATAAATAAATTAAAAAATACTAAAGTAAAATTATGTTTTATATATATGTATAAACGCATGTAAGATAAAAGATGCTAATACATTTATTATCACTATATGATATTATCTCTAATCGCGCAATTGAATTAGAAGGAGCAACGTTTACAGCCTAGGCATAGAATAGGCATTCGATATCATGACAACATGAGCCGCATCCGTCTTCTATTTCTAATTGCGATGAACAGTTTATCATATGCGACACGGATTTCCGTGCTGATTGTGCCATACCTCTCTAATATAATTATATATATACCGCTGTGGATGCAGGGTGAGAATTATATCATCATCAATCGCGTTCGATACCACCGATGCATAACAAAAGTTTCACAATAGAGCATAACATTTATGCGCATTTATGAATCTTTAGAATAGAACAAATACTCATTAACACTATTTTTAATTAATTATATACTTATAAACAATTTTAACTCCCTTTTTGTTTGTTTAATATTGCATATCATTTGACGATCCATTTTCCGACATTTAAGAATATTTTTTTATATAAGGTTACATTTGGAGAATTATATTTGCTGAGACTAAAGTGTTTAACACCGAAATCACAATTTTCCAAATGACCTATTTTATAATTCTGTACATTTTGCAGCAAAAGCTATGAAAACGCACAATTCCTATTTCTTGCTTTACCGCATTGCGGAAAGTTAGTTTCACGTATTGTGCAATTTGTCAGATATACGTAAGTGTTTTAGAGCTTACAAATAAAGAATTTTACACACAACGAAAGCATCCATTTGTAATTAAGAGATGTAATCATGGCTCGAGAGTGACGTGTAAGCTTCGCAAATCTACGAAGATTTAACAGATACGTGCAAAATTGCATTCGTGCATATCCCACGGGAAATCTGCTTGCATATGCCGAAACGCAGGCGCGAATCAGCATCTGTACGTGCAAAAGGTATCGGGGCTACGCGCACCTTAGTGTTTTCAATTTCCTGCGTTTCATCGACGACGACGACGACGACGACGCCGCACAGAAGACGTAGCGGCACGTCCCGTTCATCGACGTGCGGCTACGTGACGAAAATGACGATACCACCCCGTAAATTTCGTTGCGTGTCTCGCAAAAAGCCGAGATCCCGCGGCCCGGCCGCAGCGGATAAGCAGTAGCGAAATGCAGCTGCGACAGTTTCGCACGCGAGCAACCGCGCGACACTTAACGGGAGAGACGTATCGCTTCGCTACAAAATTGAATATGTCACACTTCTCAAATCCTTATCCTTTATCTCATCCGTCGTCGTGACCTCCTACCGTCGTTTCCCATCGCCAATTACGAGGATGATGACAACAACCGACTCATCCAGGTTGAGATTACGTCTCGCGTACCAAAAATTTAACGAGAACCTGCAAATCCCTGCGTAAGACTAAATCATTCTTGCACTGCCAAATATCAAGTTGATTTTTTAATCATTTTAAAAGTTTATTGCTTCTATTTTTTTCCTACACGGGAATAATTTTCTGTTAGAATAATTTACCTTGAAAATATATCATGGTAATCGTGAAACAATATGATATTGGAAGAATTTTATAAAAGTTTTTCTGATTAATATTTGCCACAATAAAAATATATATTAATTGTACATAGTAAAATTAATAGAACATATTTTATATCTTATTGTGATAAATATTAATATTTTTATTGTGCTAAATATTAATCAGAGAAACTCGTAAAATTCTTCCAATATCATATTGTTCCATATGGTTACTATGATTTTCAGGGTAAATTCTAAGAGAAAATTCTCTCTGTGTACATGGCTTTCACTTGAGCATTAATAGAAAAAGAAATGGTCCTGCAAAACATACCCGCTTAAATTTTACCTGTCTAACGGCAGTCTAATTTCATAAAAAACACATGTAAAAAAAGAGTTGGCAGAGTGGGAAACAAAAACTTGTGTGTCGTAGATGGCGGTGTGATATTTCGTAAGGAGAGTTAATTGCAAAAAGCATCTTGCAAAAGCAAGCTACAACGTAATGAGCGTCAGATAACGTTCGATTACCGTTCGTAATTACCCTCCATTAACTTCGTAATAGTATCTGTATCGTAGTTCCGATTCAACGAAATTAAGATCCGAAGCTCAAAAGAACTCTAATCGCATAATTCTCAAAGTTGCTTACTTATCTTTATTATGCATTATAACATTTTATAACTATTAATAATCTTTCAAAATATATTATATTTTCTACAACAAAAGTTGAAAAATAAATTGATCTCTATTAGTGAGACTTACACAAGAAATCTTTGTAAAATTTTTAACGATAACGATATCTTAATGTGATGAAAAATACTACTCATTGTCTTCTTGTTACATAACTATTTGCTTCTTGCGATAGCGCATTGCAAATACTTAGTTTCATAGATATGAATCTAGTCTATTTTCTATTGCGAAAGAAAAAATTATTTTTATTGCAGTTGAAAAAAATAAAGCTATTATATACGAGTATGCATTTAAGGACATATAGCAGAGTATATACTATTATAAAAATTGAGAAAGTAATTGCTTTTTAAAAAGAGATGAACAACAAAGAAATAAATCGGACATGATAATAAGAAATATATTCTCAATTATAAGTGTAAAGTCATTCACAGTTGCAAAATTTAAAAGAATCTTAAATATTTTTGTTAAAACTTTGTTATAATTGTTGAACAAATTAATTTTAGAAGACACACGAGATTGAAAATAACAGAGATAAATAATTGCAGAATGATAAACGTCTGTTATAATATATTTAATATAATTAGACATAACATGAGTAAACAGTTAATCTCCATCCGATTAATATCTACATTAATTGCTATCTAATTAAACTGAAACTTTACATCCGAAAGCTTATGCAGAGCAAATCTTTGGATAATACGGTCAGTTATTAAATTAATGTACTAAAGGATTAAATTACACCATATAAGTACGGCGTATTCATTAGCAAAATTTCAAGAGAAAACGATGAGAAAATCCTTAATGTCTTTCTATATAAATAAATGTTAAGTGCTAATACTTTAAAATTTATATTTTTGTCTCATTTTTTCGCGCGGTCCGAATAGCTAGTATATATATATATATATATAAAATTATTAAAATTTATAAAATCATTTTATTGTAAATAATAAATTTATATTTTAGCTCAGAAAATTTCAAAATACATATTTGTGAATATATTTGCATAAATTATAATCGGCAGCATTATACATGCCATATAAAGCATATAAAGATATTTCTACAAAATACATAAAATAGGCTTAAAAGTGCTTTTATCTCTAATAACATAAAAATTTTTAAAACATATTCTTCAAATTATATTAAATATATAATATCTGATAAATGATTATATATTTTGCATAGTTTCAATGTATTTAAAAAACATTTGCATCGAATTATTGTAAATACATTATTAGCTAAATAATTGGCAGTACAATATTGTTATATTACAAATTATGATTTCTTTCTCTTATTCATCCTTTTAAAAAATTCAGCGTACAATACAATAAATGTAACAAAGAGAGCAATATATGAGATCAATATATTTATGATTTTATAATATTGCATAAACATGTTACATGTCAACTCGTCTCATTATATGTATAATATAATAATAATGCGTATGATATAAATGCGTAGAAAGAAATACTGATTTGAAAACTATTCAAAGATGATTTCTCACATTTTACGCATTGTCAAACACAACACAGATACAAATTCTCATTTAGCAGATATTGATTTTGTTTATACTTAAAATAATAAAATGTGCATTAAAGTTAAAACCTTATTACTGATAAACTAGTGGAAACTGTTTATCACGTTATCATATGTTCTATTGTATTTGGATGGATAGACACTCCTTTATCGTGTGTGTAATTACTTCTTCAGTCTTCATCAGAATAAGGAGCGGTAAGTAACGCCAAGTTAACGGTAAGTAACTTCATTAAAGATAGTAAAATTTAATTTTTTTTTAACGATATTGATACAATACATAGTGATCAAAAAGTAAAAGTATAAAACATTGGTATTTTAAATTATAAGATTGTTGTAAATAGATGAACGGATAATTATTTTAGTCAGAAAAAATAATATACTTAATTTTACAGATTAGCTTATGCGTTCGTCGCATTACTGAAAATGCTGCGCGCTATAATTCTGATCGTCACCTTTGTTGTAGTTAATGGTAAATAAAATTCAATATATACACGCGGATCACGTTTAGCATTTTATATTTAAATGTAAAAGTTCTTTAAATTATCACAACAGTGAAATTTTTCACAAAAAATATATATTGTTTTCTTATTTGAACGTTATCAATATTGTAATGTAATAATTTTCGTTATTTATAGTGTTTTTTAAATTTCGATAAGTATACTTTGAAAAAGAAAAAGAGCCGAAAAAGCAAAATATTATAAGCAAAATATTCACAAAATTTTTGCATAAAATTGATCTATATATAATCTTCACAATTGCCGACAATTGCTCTATATATATTTTACATAGTAATTTCGAAATAGTCTCATTCTGTTGCTGCATGCTTTGTTTTACGTAACAAAAGATATGGCCTATTCATATTTATTACTTTGTCTTGTTTAAACATATTGTTTCGAAATTATATAAACATTTTGAAAAATTCTTTTAATAATGTTTTAAACTATTAATTTAAAAACTCTTGCAATCAAAACTTCTGGTTTATTAAAACAGCAGAATTTATTATGACGACAGAATTAAAATTGTTTTTTCTCGAGTATAGTGCCAATATTACTACAATTTTTTTTTCTTTTCTAAGATTTTTATTGTTTGTCGATTTGAAATTTGTCTATCTTGTAGGTGATAAATGCGCACAACGTTCGTGTGGAGATACCGGTTATGTGTGTGTCTGTAATTCGACATATTGTGACACAATAGAAGTGCCGCAAAAACTGCAACAAGATGAGTTTCTCTGGTACTTTTCTACCAAAGATGGTAAAATATTGGAATATTCCATTAACAAATTCTCTGTTGAGAATGAAGCGAAGAATAATTGTGTTCTCACATTGAACAGTAATAAGAAATACCAACAGATATCTGGATTCGGCGGAGGATTGACTGATTCTGTCGCACTGAATATTAAATCTCTCAGTAATGACACTCAAGACAAATTACTCGAGTATGTGACTAGCTTTGTTTAAGTGCAGCGATAATATCTTTCTGAAAAGCAAAGAAAAGAAAGAAAAACGTGTTGATTATATGCAGATTGAGATAATCTCATTATCTCTCTTTTGCTAGTAGAAAAGTTAATGAACATGAATTGTAGATTATCATTCTTTAGAATGAGATGAATATACTTTCACATAAAATCGAAATTGAGCAAAATGTGTTAACTGGAATATTAAAATGTGAAACCTTACAAACATTCGGAGACAAAATGATTTAACAATGGTGTATCGGATTTTATGAAATTGTCGCAAATCTATCTGACGTGATTTAATTCATTTCTCATGATTCATTTCTCATGTATAATTATTTTCAGATCATATTATGGTAAAACTGGTATCGGATATACATATTGCCGCATACCTATCGCAGGTACAGATTTCTCGACAAGAGCATATACATATGACGACGTATCCGACGATGTTACATTAAGCAACTTTAGCCTTGTGGAAGAAGACGCCTATAAAATCCATTATCTAAAGTGTATGAAAAGAATTATGCGTAATCCAAGTGATCTAAGAATAATGACTGCTCCATGGTCTCCTCCAACCTGGATGAAAGATTCCAACCACATAAAGTTTGGTAATTATGACTCGATAAAGCACAAAATTTTTCTCGAAAAAAACAAATTTTTACAAAGCTATTAATGCTATCCCAACAACTAGATAATTTTTCAACAATAATATAATTGCGCAATTAATTTGTAGATATGATAATACGAGAGATAGATGAGACGTTACGATAATTAAATATAAAATACATAATGCACAATGATTCAACAGGTTGCTTAAAAAAGGAATATTATCAAACCTACGCTGATTACATCCGGAAATTCTATGATGCATACAAAATGCATGGTATAATAATGTGGGGCATGTCGCCACACAACGAACCCACAGATGGATATATGCCAATGTTTCCTTTCAATTCTATGGCTTGGTCACCCTTTCAAATGGCGATCTGGTCTGTTGACTATTTAGCTCCAACTTTATCTAAGGCTGGATACAAAGATCTTGTTTATATAGCTGTAGATGATCAACGTTGCTACTTACCAACGTATCCTGATTTAATGTTCAAAAATAAGAACGCTGAAAAATTATTCTCTGGTATTGCGGTTCATTGGTATGGAGATAACTTCTTTTCACCCTTAGTATTAACCGAAACGCATGATAAATATCCGGACAAATTTCTACTGATGACCGAAGCATGCACCGGTAAGCATAATTAATTATATTTACAAAATAAATAATAAGAATAAAAAAAGTAAAAATTTGTAATAGCTCTATTCGGGAAGTTTCTAAATATTTTCGCAATTTTCACTTGATAGGTACTTTTGCTACTAATTTTCTTGAACCAATCGTAAATTTAGGATCATGGTACCGAGGGGAACAATATATGAAAAATATAATAGAGGTATGTGAAATTAATAAATTGATACTCTAAACTGAGATATATACGTCTATTTCGTTTTTAAATATTGAGCTTGTATTAGCTAATTAAGAACGTTTTTAATATAAGTATAAAATGAGAATCTATCGAGCACATCTAACTTCAATAATCTAACTTTAAATAAATATCGAAAAATTTTTAATTTATTAGAATTCAAATAGTGTTTTGCTTAATAAGAATTTAAATATAGCATCTTATGTATAGAATTTTGTTATAATGCTGTAATTAAAATGCTATGTATTAAAGTCATCATATAAGAACAACAATAATATCATAGATACTTTTTAAGATTTTTTGTTTTAAATTTTATTGTAAAATTCACAAGAATATATTTTCAGAATTTAAGTCATTGGGTGACGGGATGGATAGACTGGAATATAGCACTCGATGAGAAAGGTGGACCAACTTGGGTTGGAAATTATGTGGATTCACCTATTATTGTAAATTCGGAGAAAGATGAGTTCTATAAACAGCCTATGTTCTATGCGATTTCTCATTTCAGCAAATTTGTGCCACGTGGCTCTTATGTAATCTCTTCTACAGAAGAGAATTGCCTCTCTAAAAAGATTCATTCGATAGCCTTCTTGACGCCCGAACAAAAAGTTATTGTCGTGATTGCTAACACGTTAGTAAATATATTTACATCACTAATTCCGACTTAATATATAATAATGATTTATTTTTAAAGGAATATAAAGAATCTTTAAGGAAAATTTCCCCATTATTTTCTAAAACTAGCATATTTTTATTTTCTTAATAATTCCTTAGAATATATAAATAATTTTTTTTCTGTTACAGAAATAATGAATCTATTCCTTTGACCATCAAAGATGAGAACACAAACAAAATAATAAATATGAATCTATTTCCAAAGTCTTTTAATACAATATCATATTTGGCATACTAATAAATATAATAATAATATAATAATTGAAACTTATATATATTGTAAGTTAGAAATGGAGCATATTTCTTCGAAATTTTTTAATTTTCTTAAAGGAAAAGGTGAAACTATTATGTACTATAATTTGCAAAACTTTTTTGCAAGGGATGAAGATACGCATTATATATATTATATGGAATTGCATGTTATAAAAATTAATATAAATATAATCGAAATAAATATAATTAATGTAAATATTATTTACTTATTACTATATACTGTGACTTTCTAATGTATCCGCGATTTAAATATGAATCATATTTTTGAATATATGATATGAAGATATGAATATATGTATAAAAAAATTACACTTTGTATAAATGCAAAGTTATAATTGACAATATTATACGTGCAAACATATAAAAACATTTCTATATAAAATGCCTAAAATAGGCCTAAAAGTTCTTTCACCTGTAATAATATGCAAATTAAAAAAAATATTCTTAAAAATATATTAAATAATATATGACATATGATAAATGGTTATATATTTTGCATAATTTCGATGTGTTTATAAGATATTTGTTTTACAAATAAGATATTTTTACTAAACATTAATAAACATAATCTCGTTAGCGCGGTTATAAAACAGTCTTGAACAGAACGTGTTAACTCTGATTTAAGAAAATCTAATTCTCTTTTGCTAATATAAAAGTTAGTGAATACGAGTTGTAGATTATGATTCCTTAAGATGAATATACTTCTACATAATATCAAAATTGAGCAAAACGCTAACTAGTATATTGAAATATGAAACCTAACAAACATTCAAAGACAAAATGATTTAGCAATAATGTATCAAAATTTACGAAATTGTCGCAAATTTATTTGACGAGATTTAATCTGTTTCTCATGATCAATACGTATAATTATTTTCAGGACGTATTATGGTGCCAGTGGTATCGGATATACATATTGTCGCATACCTATAGCAGGCACAGATTGCTCGACGAGAGAATATACATACGATGATGTACCCGGCGATATTACATTAAGTCATTTTAGTCTTGTAGAAGAAGACCACTATAAAATCCAGCATCTACATCATATCAAAAGAATTATGCTTAATTCAAGCGATCTAAGGATATTTACTACTTCGTGGTCTGCTCCAGTCTGGATGAAAAACACTAACAACATAAAGTGGGGTAATTATGACTCGATAAAGTACACAATTTTTATAATTTTATAAATTTTTATAAAATATCTAATGCACAATGACAGGTTACTTAAAAAAAGAATATTATCAAACCTACGCCGACTACATCCTGAAATTCTTTAACGCGTACAAAAGTATGATATAGACATATGGAATATAACGCCCGGCAACGAGCCATTAAACGGATTAACCCCATTATCCCAATTAAATGCTATGTTATGGACACCTTCTAATGCAGCAAACTGGATCGTAAACAATTTAGCTCCAATTTTATCTAAAGCCGGATACAAAGATCTCGTTTATATCGCAATGGATGATCATCGTTTCATGTTACCATTTCATCCCGCTGCAATGTTTGAAAATGAGGAGGCTAAAAAGTTATTCTCCGGTATTGCGGTTCATTGGTATGTAGATCGACTCTTTCCAGCATCATTATTGACCAAGACGCATGATATGTTTCCGGACAAATTTCTACTGATGTCGGAGGCATGCACCGGTAAGTGTATTATTAATTATATCTCCAAAATAAATAATATAAGAATGATACAAAATTGTAATAAATTTTTTCTGGAAACCTCAAAATATTTAATTAATTTTTACCTGACAGGTACTAGTGCTACTAATCTTTTTGAACCAGCTGTAATTTTAGGATCGTGGAACCGAGGGGAACAATATATAAACGATATAATAGAGGTATACATATGTCAAATTAATAAATTTATACTGTAAACTGAATTATATACATCTATTTAATTTTCGAATATTGAATTTGCATTGAGATTAACTAATTAAGAACATTTTTAATATAAACATAAAATGAGAATCTACATCACGAACACATCTAACTTTATAATAATCCAACTTAAAACAAATAAAATTGTTTACACATATTACAAACAATTAAAATAGTGCATTGCTTAATGAATTTAAAATCTAATAGCATTATATACAAAATTTTGTTATAATGCTGTAATTATAATGCTATGTATTAAAATTTTTATACAAGAACAATAATAATATCATAGATATTTTTTAAGATATTTTTTAAATTTGATCGTAAAATTCGCGAGAATATATTTTCAGAACTTAAATCATTGGGTGTGTGGATGGATTGATTGGAATATAGCACTCGATGGAAGAGGTGGACCAAGTTGGTTTAAAAATTATATGGATTTACCTATTATTGTAAATTCGAAGAAAGATGAGTTCTATAAACAGCCTATGTTCTATGCGATTTCTCATTTCAGCAAATTTGTGCCACGTGGCTCTTATGTAATCTCTTCTATAGAAGAGAATTGCCTCTCTAAAAAGATTCATTCGATAGCCTTCTCGACGCCCGAACAAAAAGTTATTGTCGTGATTGCTAACACGTTAGTAAACATATTTACATCACTAATTCCATCTTAATATATATTAATGGTTTATTTTTGAAGGAATAATTTAAAGAATCTTTAGAGAAAATTTCCTCATTATTTTCTAAAACTATAGCATAATTTAATTTTCTTATAATTATCCAGATTCCTTTGAATATATTATATAATCAAAAATTTTTTTCTGTTACAGAAATAATAAATTTATTCCGCTGATCATCAAAGACGAGAAGATAAACAAAATAATAAATATAAATTTATCTCCGAGGTCTTTCCATACAATATCATATTTGGCATAGCAATAAATATAATAATAATATAATATTACAACTTATACATATACTATATATTTTTGTAAGTTAGAAATGGAGCATTTTTCTACTAGAAATTTTTTAGTTGTCTTAAAGCAAAAGATTAAACTATGTACTATATTTTGTTTAAAACTTGTTTACAAGGAATAAAGATAAATTGTATATTGTATGTGTATGTATATGAATTGTATATTTTATAAAAATCGAAGTAAATATAACTGATATTATTTACTGTTACTAACACACCCATTATAATGTTTTTATAATCTGTTCACAACTTAAACGTGAATCATTTTTGTGAATATATGAGTATATATGAATATATGTATAACAAAGTTACACTTTGTATAAATGCAAAGTTATAATCAACAGCATTATATGTGCCAAGCATATAAAGATATTCAGAAGATCTATAAAATGATTATATATTTTGCGTAATTTCAATGTTTATAAGATATTTGCGTCAAAATAACGTAAATACCTTATTAGCTACGTGCAACATATTTCTCAGTAATATTTTTACAATACAAATTTTGATTTCTTTCTCTTATTCACCTCTCTTAAAAAATTTAGTGTCTAATGTAATAAATATATTAAAGAAAGCAATATATGACAGCAATATATAGTATTATATAGTTTATGATTTTGATTTTATGATATAATATTATATAAATATACTTTGTATATCAATACTCTCGTCTCATTACATAATATGAATAAATGGTAGAAAAAACACTGATTAAAAAATTATTCAAAGATAATATCTCCCATTTTGTACATTGCATCCAATACGACACAGGTACAAATTCTCATTTTTTAGACTTTGGCCTTGTTTCTTAAAATAATAGAATGTGCATTACTTAAAACCTTATTACTGATAAATTTGCGGAAACACTCTATCGTATGTTATCTTACATGTTCTATATTGTATGCGCCGATAGATATGTCACTACCATAGTTACTATTCTTCAGTCACGATCAAGAACTATCAAGGAACTGGAAGTAATAGTTTCTGTGTTAGGGATAGTGAAATTTAATAATATACTCAAGTACGATACACAGTGATTAAAACTAGTAAAAATAGAAGCATAAAATAAGAAAGCTTCCTTACTTAATTAACGGATTTCAAAATGAAAATAATCCTTCCTTCAGTCTAATCCATAAATTTAAGTAAATGTATAAATTTACATAAACCTTAAAATTTATCTGACAACGAGTAAGAAATTAATAGATTTTATTTTCTTGTCAAAAACCGTGTATTCGAAACGTGAATTATAAAGAATAAATAATGCGTTTTTGTTCACGGCTACAGAAAATGCGATAAAAATAAAAGTAAACTTACAGCAAAGTTTTTATATAATAGACATTATGAAAAAAATACGTAATGAAACACTGTCAGTCAAGTAAAAGTGATATAATATATTTATACATACATATATATATATATATATATATATATATATATATATATAATAAATTAATATCGGTGATATAATAGATAAATAAATATCAGTTATATAATAAATAAAATCAGTCTTTTGATTGATTACTCGAAGATTTTTATGATACATTTGTAATTAAAATCCTATCGCACACAGACATAGCTCACACATATCGCAAACGGATACGTAGATAATCTAAATTATAAGATTACTGGCAAAAAATGATAAACGGGCGATTCTTTTAATTAAATGATAATATATTCCTTTATGCATTTACAGATTAGCAAACGTTCGTTGCATTACTGAAAATGCTGCGCGCTATAATTCTGATCGTCGCTTTTGTCACTGTTAAAGGTAAGTAACGTTCAATATATACGCAATCGCGTTTAACATTTTATTTTTAAATATGTAAAAGTTCTTTCAATCATAACAACAAAATTTTTCACAAAAAATTACGTATTTTATTCTCTCTTATTTGAACATTATTAATATTGTAATGTATAATTTTCATTATTTATAGCTTTTATGAAATTTCGATAAATATATATTTTATAAAAAAAAGAGGGAAAGACAAAAATATTATAATTAAACATTTTTAAAACTTTTTCTTATAAAATTGGATTGTTATCTATACAATCTCGAAATAATCGCATTCTGCTTTACGTACACTGTAAAAAATATGTAATATATTACACAAAAATATGTAAAATTACATAAATAATAAGTGTAAAATTACATGATAAATAATAGAAAATTTTATCTTTTCATTATTTATCATGTAATTTTACATTTATTATATATGTAATTTTACATATTATTAATGTAATTTTATACATTTTTTTACAGTGTAATAACAAAGATATAGCTTATTCATATATGTTTTTCTTGCTTAAAAATACTGTTACGAAATTGGGACATTTTGAAAAAATTTTTTAACAAATATTTTAAGCGATTTATTTAAACATTCTTGCATACAATACGCTAAAACTTCGAGCTGATTAAAAGAACAGAATTTAATTTAACGACAAAAATAAAATTGCTTTTTCTTAATACAGTATAGTCTCAATATCATTACAAAATTTGTGATATTTTTTAAGGTTTTCATTGCTTATCGATAAGAATTTATGCAAGATAGCTTAAGTAGCGAAATATTTAAAATTTATCTATTTTGTAGGTGATGGGTGCGCACAACGTTCGTATGGAGATGGCAGTGTGTGCGTCTGTAATGCGACATATTGTGACACAATGGAGATGCCACTACTTCAAAAAGATCAGTATCTTTCGTACAAATCTGTTAAGGGTGGTAAAATGATGGAATTTTCCATAAACACTTTCTCTACCGAAACTGAATCTAATAAAGAGAACTGTAGTAGCGTAGTTCTCACATTGGACAGTAATAAAAAGTATCAACAAACATGTGGATTCGGTGGAGCAATGACTGATGCTGCCGCAATCAATATTAGATCTCTCAGTAATGCGACTCAACACCAATTACTCGAGTATGTAAGCTTTCTTAAGTTTTATGACCTTGTTTAAGGTACAGCTGGCTTTATTTAAGTACAGCAATAATATCTCTCTGAAAAGCGAAGAAAATAAGTCGACAAGCAGCAATAAATATTAATGATATAACTAATTTTAATAAATTTTCAATATATTCTCTTTGCAAGGAACAAGCGATAGCATTATCATTATTTTATGACTTCGAACTAGATCAAAGATCGAAATTGGCCTCGTGTCATCTTATGGCGAATTCGGTTGGATGCACTAGTGCGCACTGAGTGCATATAAAGGTTTACCATACACAAAGTTTACAACAACACAAGTAATTAAAAAAGGAAAATAATTAATAGTAAGAGCTCCTACTATTAATTATTTTCCTTTTTTAATTACTTGTATCATTATGAACTTGTGTGTGATAAACCTTTATATGCACTCATTGTCAGTGTGCACTAGTGCATCCACCAAATTCTGCTCTCCAATTTTCCCTATTTGATTTTACGAAATCAATTTTTGAAACCTCTTTTCTTTGATATCAAGATTTTTATACGTTTAAAACTTTTTTATAAAAAAATCCATTTAATAATGCAAAAAATCTATTTTAAAGACAATAGACAAAACGCAAGCTTTACTACTATATATTAATAAACATAATCTCGTTAGGGCAGTTATAAAACAGTTTCCGAACAAAACGTATTCACTCTGTGATAATGTCATTATCTCTCTTTTTGTTAATAGATAAGCTATAATGAATACGAGTAAATTATGATTCCTTAGGATGAACATACTTTTACGTAGTATCGAAATTGAGCGAAACGCATTAACTGATAATGAAATATGAAATCTAAACAACATTCAGAGGCTAAATGATTTAGCAATATAGTACCAGATTTTACGAAATTGTCGGAAATCTATCTGACGAGATTCAATCTATTTCTCACGATCTTTACTCACGTATAATTATATTTTCACGTATAATTATATTTTCAGGTCCTATTTTGGTAAAACTGGTATTGGATATACACTTGCTCGCATCCCTATCGCGGGTACAGATTTCTCGACGAGAGGATATACATATGACGACGAATCCGGCGATGTTAAATTAAGTCAGTTTAAGCTTGCACAAGAAGACGACTATAAGATCCAGTATTTACAGCATATCAAAAGAATTATGCGTAATTCAAGCGAACTAAGGATATTCACTACTGCGTGGTCTGCTCCACCCTGGATGAAAAACACTAACAACATAAAGTGGGGTAATTATGACTCGATAAAGTACAAAATTTTTCTCAAAAAAAATCAGATTTTTTACGAAGTTATTAATGATACCGCAAGTGGATATTTTTCAGCAATAAAATGTGATTGGAAAACAAATTAAATAAATTTCTTTTTTTTAATTTGCCTTTTTTAATAAGCCTTTTTCTATTGTATTAATTTTCTTTTTTTTTAATTTGTGGATATGGCTAAGACAACGTTACAATAATTGAACATAAAATACATAATGCACAATGTGATCCAACAGGTTACTTAAAAAAGGAATATTATCAAATCTATGCTGATTACATCTTGAAATTCTTTGACGCGTACAAAGAGCGTGGTATAGACATATGGGGTATGACGCCCGGCAACGAGCCAATTGATGGATTAATCCCGGGTTTCCTTTTAATTCTATGGCCTGGCCACCCAATGATGTAGCGAACTTTACCGTAAACTATTTAGCTCCAACTTTATCTAACGCCGGATACAAAGATCTCGTCTATATAGCAATGGATGATCAACGTTTCATGTTACCATTTTATCCCGCTGCAATGTTTGAAAATGAGGAGGCTAAAAAGTTATTCTCCGGTATTGCGGTTCATTGGTATGTAGATCGACTCTTTCCAGCTTCATTATTGACCAAGACGCATGATATGTTTCCGGACCAATTTCTACTGATGTCGGAGGCATGCACCGGTAAGTGTATTATTAATATATCTCCAAAATAAATAATATAAGAATGATACAAAATTGTAATAACTTTTTTCGGGAATCCTCAATATATTTATATAATTTTCGTTTGACAGGTACTTTTGTGACTAATCTTTTTGAACCAAATGTAGTTTTGGGATCGTGGGAGCGAGGGAACAATATATAAAAGATATAATAGAGGTATGTATATGTCCAATTAATAAATTTATACTGTAAACTGAAATATATACACCTATTTAGTTTTTGAATATTGACCTTGCATTTAAATTAACTATTATATTTAAGAACATCTTTAATATAAGCATAAAATGAGAATCTATTGAGTACATCTAACTTTAATAATCTAACTTAAAACAAGTTAAATTTTTTACAAATATTAAAACAGTTCAAGTAGTATATTGCTTAATGAATTTAAATCTAGCATTATATACAGAATTTTGTTATAATGCTGTAATTATAATGCTATACATTAAATTCATTATATATAAACAACAATATAGATATATTTTTTGAGATATTTTTAATTTTATTGTAAAATTCAGGAGAATATATTTTCAGAACTTACATAATTGGGTGTGTGGATGGGTAGATTGGAATATGGCACTCAATGAGGAAGGTGGACCAAATGGGTTGGAAATTATGTGGATTCACCTATTATTGTAAATTCAGAGAAAGATGAATTCTATAAACAGCCTATGTTCTATGCGATTTCTCATTTCAGCAGATTTGTGCCACGTGGCTCTTATGTAATCTCTTCTACAGAAGAGAATTGTCTCTCTGAAAAGATTCATTCGATAGCCTTCTTGACGCCCGAACAAAAAGTTACTGTCGTGATTGCTAACACGTTAGTAAAACATATTTACACCACTAATTCCGTCTTAATATATATAAATGGTTTTATTTTTAAAGGAATAATTTAAAGAATCTTTAGAGAAAATTTCCTCATTATTTTCTAAAACTATAGCATAATTTAATTTTCTTATAATTATACAGATTTCTTTGAATATATTATATAATCAATAATTTTTTTCTGTTACAGAAATAATAAATCTATTCCGCTGATCATCAAAGACAAGAACACAATAGTAAATACAAACCTAGCTCCAAAGTCTTTCCATACAATATCATATCTGGCATAGCAATAAATATAATCAGGGTTGGGAAAGTTACTTTGTAAAAGTACTAGTTACAGTTATTTCATTGAAAAAGTAACTAGTTACAGTTACAAATTACCGATTTAAAAAAATAACTCGTTGCAGTTACAAATTACCGATTTTAAAAAATAACTCGTTACAGTTACAGTTACTCAAAAGTAACGAGTCGTTACTTTTCAGTTACTTTACAGACCATTCCTGTGACCATCAAAACCGCAAACTCAAATACAATAAGAAAAACAAACCTAATTGGAAAGTCTTTCCATTCAATATTATATACGCCATAGCAATAAATATATTAATATAATGATATTGAAACTTACATATATATTCATGTAAGTCACGAATGAAGAATATTTCTATAAAATTCTGCAGTTTTCTTGATATGGAAAGACCGAAATTGTGTACTATATTTTGTACAACTTTGTTACAAGGAATAAAAATGGATTGTATGTTGTATGGAATTATATATGTTAAAAAATATAAATATAATCTTTTAATCATTGATATATTTATGCTTTCAATATATGGTGTTATACATACTTGCAATTATGGATAGTACGTTTTCTCCATCGTCCTATCTTTCTCTTCTTAGGATTCTTCGTAAACATCTTGGTATATACGGTGCCTTGTGATCATCTAACCTACGTGTAAACATTTTGACGCCAAACTCCCATGGTTCTCGTTTCTTATCCATCGGACGAGTTTTATGTCGCAGAATATAGATCCTCTGCCAATCATATATTTGTGGTATTCGTCTAGAAAAAAATATGTTGCGATTATCAAATAGAAATATTTCTATTACATATTTTATTAATCTATTTTTATTAAAATAAATAGTTTGTATACAGTGTATATGAACTATTTTAATAAAAATAGATGTATATATTATACATAATTATTAAAATAATTATTTCTCATATAAATATATATTGTGTTATCATATTATTAATATTATTTACTGTTACTACATACCTGTGTCTTGGTCTGTTACACACAAGATGCTTATAATATTTCTCAAGCCAATTTCTTTTTTTATTGCCTGATGTATGGGCTATTAATTTCCTGACTTCTCCTAAATACGGTTTCATATTTACACCTACCCTTTCCTCAGGAATATTTGTATAAAACTTAATCAAAGTCTTGAGGACTTCTTCATTTAAACCATGAACCTTTTCATTTTCTATCTTATCGAATAATTTTATTGGTTCAGTGACCCAACATACGTTACGCTTTGGATTTTCATCAGCATATTCAGAGTGTACTAATGTAGTATTAAGTTGATAGACAAAAAACGACCACAGTTGCCCATTTGTTATAACTGTCTGAGTGGTTAAGGGATATGTAATATCATTAAAAGTAGAAAAACCTGAAATTTTGTATATAAATATATACATATATATATATATATAATATATATAAAATTAATAATATTCAAATTAATATTTAAAACATAAAATTAAGCATATAGATACCTTGGTAGCAAGCTTGTGACAATAACCAACTATAAGATGCTAATATTGCCTGTACTGTAAGTACTTCAGATGTATCATTATATCTTTCTGGCTTTTTTGCAAACTTGTACAACTATGATAAGATAAGAGTCCAAATTCATTTTCATCACCAGGCCAAAATCCAGGTATATTAGTTAAATGTCTTCGACCAAGTTTATATGACAGTACCATTGGACACAACTTAAAAGTAGGTACATCCAAAGCTGGATTTTCACATTCACTTAAGGAAATAATCTCTCTCAGAGGATGCTTATATCTCAAATGCATGGCAGGCTGACCCACATATTGAACAGGCAAATCTACTGGGTCATCAATAGAATCCCTCAGAATTTTAATTCTTCTTCTATAATTTTTCCTAAAGGCAGGAGGATTTATACCACCACTAAACCAAGCTGCTTCCAATCTCGGCTCGATATCAACTTCAGTTTGTAATAAATGTGGATACGTAGAAGAGAGATGTATCAGTATTGTTCTATTAATATTTTGAATGACTGCTTGACATATATGGTTATTTATTTTTTCATTCCTTTCCAAATTCCCAATTTTTTCATCAAATTTACTAGTTTTAATCTCATGTTCTCTTCTCTTCTGCAACATTCATAAAATTATTGTAACACAATAGTAATTATAACATTCATAAAAGATAAGATAACATTAATTAATTATTTATTATTTATTTATATTTATTAATTAATATATTTTCGTGGTATAAAATATAATAAGAAACAAATAACTTAAAATCTATGCATATCTGGAGCATAGGTAAATAAAATAAATAAAAAAATAATTGTAAGTAGCCATTAACAATAGTCAAAAATAGACAACAGCATTTGAATAATTTTTCTTTATAACTAAAGAAATCTTTTTAAATTTGCAACAAAACATAATAGAAATATACGAACCTTCTGACACAATATTCAAAGACTATATTATCTTCCACGTCACTTTTTATTGCTTGTACAATATTATCTAACTGCTCAGTGGAAATGACATTGTTGTAGTACGCTGGAAGACCGGATTCTTTCACACGTGCGTCCGCGTGATGTACTGTGCATGTGACAGGGAATTGTACGGTATCGTATGTTCGTTCAAGAACAGCGACTTCCAGCCGTAATAACGCGGCATATTGAGCTCGAACAATTTCTCCTCCACAGTCTGCAAGCCCTTAATCTTTTCGTGCCAAGCTTGCTTCTTCCTCTTCGAACGGGCTTTAAAGCCCGACTCCTCGATAGGTAGATACACCGGTTTCGCTGCGTCCTTGACTTCATCCTTCACTTCGCTGATAGCAGAGGTGCTATATCTCTTCTTGCTGTATCTCGTTACTGTATTAAGCAATAACTTCGGTCGAATTTGAATAAACATTTTTCTGAATGAAAATATCAGACCTAACCTGCTTGGAAGTTCCAAGCAGAAGTGACGATTCTGCTCCGATTTGAAAAAAAAAAAAAAACTGCGTTTTCAATCAAATTTCAGCTGGAAAAGAACCGACCAATCATAGTACGAAATTTTCAATCTATATTTTTGATTGGTTACCACTTACGTTACTGCCTGTACTTGATTGGTCAATAAAATTTCATCAGTGCACCTGGTAGATTTTCGAACACAACCTTTTTATGGTTCTTCATCCTTCATGCCTTCGTGTACTAAAATCTGTAAATACATCGAGGAAAGTGAAATATTGTGGTGTGTTACAACGAATGCATTATTTAGAAATTATTTGTAAAAAAAACATTCTCATATATGGATCAACTTCTTGCAATAATGGAAAAAGTGCGGAGATACGAGAAAATCGACTTTTTGGGCGAAGGACAGGTTATAAAATGTTTTTTATATTTTATTATACTGTTTTATATACTATATTTAATATTTATTATTTTATTAGAAGGTGTATTAAGGTGTATAAAATTTGTCAATTTTATACACCTTGTTTTATTCCTAATACTATATACATAAATGCTTTTTTTACTTGTGTATACACAATATATTTTTATACATATAGATTTATTTATATATCATATCTAATCTAATTACATAATTATTTACATTATATTATATTCATAATATAAATATATTATACATTTCAGTTTGCCACTGTTTACAAAGCAAAGGATGTAAAAACAAATAAAATAGTGGCTGTAAAAAAGGTTACTTTCCTTACTATAGAAAATATATTTTGTATAATTTATAGTATATAAAGTTGTATTAATCTTTTTATATTTTTAGATCAAAGTCGGAAGTCGCGCAGAAGCCAAAGATGGCATAAACAGAACTGCTCTGCGAGAAATTAAACTACTGCAAGAATTAAAACATGACAATATCATTGGCTTATTGGGTATGTGTTATTATATTATAATATAGAAACTTGATTAATAATTTATTTAAAATAAAATAATGATATTAAACTTCACAGTTTTATATAAAAATAAGTTTTTATAGTTATAAGTATATATTTTAATTTCAGATGTTTTTGGTCATAAATCAAATGTGTCATTAGTATTTGATTTTATGGACACTGATCTGGAAGTGATAATAAAGGACAGCAATATAGTCTTAACTGCAGCAAATATCAAAGCATACATGATCAAACGCTGCAAGGCTTAGATTATCTTCATTTTAATTGGATACTTCATAGAGATTTAAAGCCAAATAATTTGCTAGTGAATTCAGAAGGTGTCCTCAAAATTGGAGATTTTGGCTTAGCAAAATTTTTTGGATCACCTAATCGTATAAATACTCATCAAGTTGTCACAAGATGGTATAGAGCACCAGAATTACTTTATGGTGCTAGACTTTATGGAACTGGAATTGATATGTGGGCAATAGGTTGTATATTAGCTGAACTTTTACTGCGAGTACCATTTTTGCCTGGTGAATCTGATTTGGATCAGCTTACTAGGATATTTCAGGTATACTTTTATCAATCTTTAGAATATATTGTTAAAAAATAATTTTAATATATATATTTTTTCTAGTCTTTATATTGAATATTTTTTCTATTATTTAGACACTGGGTACTCCAACAGATGAAACATGGCCAGGAATGAAAGAATTGCCAGATTTCATTCAATTTAAACCGTTTCCTGGAACACCATTGAAGCATATATTCACCGCTGCTGGTGATGATCTTTTGGATTTAATTGCTAGTTTCTTGAACGTGAATCCATTGGAAAGATGTACATGCGATCAGGCACTACAGATGCCATATTTCAGTAACAAACCTGCACCTACACCTGGATCTAAATTGCCTCTACCTACTACCATTAAACGTCAACGTGAAGAAAGACCTAGTTTGAAAAGAAAACTGCTCGAGTCAATAGAAGGTGCCTCTTTAGCTAAGAGATTACAATTTTAACCGATTGATATTACAAATGGCTAAATCAAGAAATCATTCACAAGGTACAAGAAATCTCAGAAGATTAGAAAAACAGAAGTTTGTGATACTGCATATGCAAGTATTATATTACATTGCAGCAGATATAAAAGTATTATATTATAATTTTTCTTCAATAATTTCTGTACGTACACGTGAAATAAACAATATGTGCTTAGAAATATTTACAAATATTCGATATAGTTTGGGACTTATATAAAACTTACAAAGTTTGATAAGAAACTAATAAAATTCTAATGTGAGTATTGAAGAAATCTCTTTTCTGAGTAGATCACAGTAAGTTTGGACAATTAATAAATGGTTGATAAAAACAAATTAATTTAAAAAAAGGAATAGGAAGAGTTGCATACAGGTAGCAATAATAACATGCACGTTGAAATATACAACGTTTTACACTGCATAATACTTTATTACTTTAAAAATGAGTAAGAAACGCTTGATGCTTGAACGATTTTATAAACTGTGAAACATCCAATTTAAAGTTTACAAGAAGCGACTAGCTAAAATCACAAACTAGTAGTATAATATTAATCTCGAGTAAATTTTTTTTTAAGCTAAAGTCGTCATCACAGAGTAAGTACAGATGCTCTGAGGATATTTCAATTCACTGATGTGTGATCATATTGTATTTATTAGCTTTTCGAAGATAAAAGAAAAGAAGAAAACGAATTAAATTACAAAAACTTTATCGCGAAACATATATTTCACGAATTAATAAGTTTTGAATGAAAAAAACCTTTAATGTTCGTTCTGTTATCATTTTATAAATAATGTTCACACTTGATTGTACTGCATTGAAAATACCTCCAACTATTGTCAGTGTATATCCATGTTCGATATACATGTATATTATGTATTCAATATATATGTAATATATGTACATACATCTAACTGTAAATCAATACTGTTGTACTACAACAAAAATACAATTTCGTACAAGATTATTCTTAATTATATTAATGCACATATCAACACGAATTGGCTGCATTCGCATAAAGGGAAGAAACCTGTTTCTCATCATTCCGTTCCCATAATATATAAAATGCAACAATGCTATATCTTAAATTTAACAATAAAGACCGAACAAGGAGTTGAAAAGAAAAAGATAATATACATAAGCACAATTTAAGATGATAAATATTTAAATACTGAAGTAAAATTTACGCTTACGTGCGTATTCTGTACATATTCGTTCTCCAAATTAATCAATTCAGAGGTAAAAAGTTCTTGGTAACATAAATTATATAATTACTTCAATATAAGATGCGTTTGGAGATATTATTGGCCATCGTTAATTTATATATTTATAGATATACACATATCAAGTCTCGGAAGATTATTTTAATCTGTGTCAAAGCACATTTTATTTACATACTTTTCTCTTATATTGCCAATATATTACATTATTACAAGTATATAGTTTCGTTTTATTGTTATAGATTAAATCGCCAGTACATTTTGATAACAATAAGTAAATTAGAAGTAATTTAATTAGAAGTCTGACTTCAAAAAGCATCATAAAATGTGTTGAAATGATAAATTCACGTTAACAGATTCTTTTTATTTATTTTTTTCTTTTTACTGTGGTCCCCTTTCATTCGAATTGAATTATAATATCTATGTACTATCTCTGTATAACACACAGCAATTGCTCTTAAGTGTATAATATTAATATTAAGTATTGAAATTCTCAAGAAAATAAAGAAGCACGACAATCAATGGAAATAAAAAAGGTCGCGCGCGCGCGAATAATCTGTTTTAAATAAAACGATTAAGCACTAGATATGTCGTGTGATATAGAATAATCAGAATATTAAAATATTATTGAGATTTACACAAAAGATGAATATGAATTTTTCTTGCTATTATGTTGCGTCTGTTAAAAAACATAAATATAATAAAAAGAATTCAGTTTTAAAATGTATCATTACATATATTAATGGAATTATTTTTTCATGTCTGTCTTTTCGAGAATAATTAAGAAGTATAATAGATTAAATGTTACTCGGTATTGCGATTATATTCTAATTTTGTTGTCTACGTATATTATCATACATATAGTACATAATTTTGCAATTGTATTAGATTTTATTAGCGCGTACAAGAAACATCTTAAATTTTAATTTGCGTTTGCATCTTAATATTGATTTGCGTAAGATGCGCGCCTCTGCATGGCTCTATCGAGAAATTTGTTTATTTTAACATTTATTACCACTAATGAACAGTTGGATTTAAAGAAATAAGATATTAGTTTCTATAAAAATTAATAGTAAACCTTTATATTGAAAGTAACAATGTATCAATAAAAAGTTGACATATCAAATATCAAATTTAATTATTGACAAATAATGATTTCGAGTGAAAAATATTCAAATATTTTTTATGCATGTGTATATTTATATTTCATTTAATTTTTCACATTATTGCGTTATATATTATTCCATAAAAAATATATATAAATGAAAAAGAGAACTGTTCGCAGAAAGTGTATATATACATACATATATATATATATATACACACACACCACCACACACACACACACACACACACACACACACACATATATATATATATATATATATATATATATATATATAAACTGTTTATGAGAGATACAGAATCACATAAAAACTTACTAAAATTGAAGTTTTTTTCTTCTGAAAATTCTATATCTACCAATTAATGTATAATCAATAGAGCACATGCAGCAGACAGACACATTCTGCTTTTTTTTAATTTGATTCAGTATTTGATTTGTAACATACACATAACACCTTATGCAATCAACAATACTTTATAATTATATGTTATTCTTATATGCCTTACATTAAGTAAGCACATCAATATTAATTATCAAGATCTCCAAAATTTGCATAATTTTCTCACAACGTAAACCACAACAAAATATTAATTTAGACGTAAATAGAAAGCTTTGTCTGTTTAGTTTTAAAATAAAAAATTTAATGTATCTAAAACATACATATGTTACAAAATACATCTTTTCAGAGTTTTGATATTAATTTTGCAGATAAGGATGTTACTTGTAATATTGAATTACATCGTACATTATTACCACACGCGCTAACAATCTTGCATAAACTGATAAAAGATTATTATGAATAACATAAATATAATGAAACTAAATGTAATCAATTTTCTAAAGAATATAAGCTATTACGTTTTTTGGTTGTACGTAATTATATACTTTTCCCGTATATGAAAAGCGACATGTTTATGCATCAATAATAAAAAATTATTGTGACAGTATGTATTTATTCATGTGTGTGTTTCGATATTGACGAAATTTATTATATAATTCTAGTGGTTTTTAATTTTTAAATATATTTATATAATTCTTGATAAGTATGTTATCTTCATCACATGCAAAAATCATTCGGCAATGCCTTATTTATTATTAGTAAACTTTATTTTCGAAATAAAATTTCTCCATTTTTAAGAAAATTTTGAAAAAGAAATTAAAAACAATTTTGTTTTTATAAATAATATACAATGGGATGTCAACATAAAACTCATCAATTATTATCATTTTAATTGAAAATGGATGTTATACTACACTTATAATTTATTTTAAGACATAAAAATTAGATATTTTATGATAAGCAAAAGAAAAACTTCAGAAGCTTGTTTGAGAGAATTCATATTTGTATTGCAAATTTCTGATGAGCATATATTTTATGATACAAAAGAGATTATTGCAAAAATTAATGAATGCCTACGGCTGTGAAACTAATAATTTAAAGTAATCTACACACTTATTTTACATTTGTTTGTTATTCACAGAAAACGAAAAGTACATCTTATATAAACGTAAACGAATGAAATTTTATGTGAGAATTTGAGACGCTCTGTATAAGTTTAACGATTAGGCACAATATTTCAAAGCAACCGAAACTTTAAAGTTCTTCATTTGAGAAAGATGGTTTGATTGTGGAAACATTTTTCCCCCCATACAGACTATTTCTCCCTAAGCTTTATGCATATTAAAAGTAGAAATACATACTCCATTGTTTCACTACTGTTTCTTCTTTTTCACTTTAATATTATATATATATATATATATTCAGTAGTCAGTCCAAGGCAAACTTTTTATCCGCGATAATGTAATACAATATAGCTATTATCTTCGTATTTCCTTTAAATCGATCTAACTATATATTACTTTCTTTTAAAAAATGTATACTTAACATTTAATATATAATATATATATCTCTTTAAAATATTTACAATCAATGCTATGATATAATATTTTAAATCGTTTGTTGTATTTATATCTTATAAAGGCAATTATCAATGTAACTACTATTTTTCTTATCGTAATATATCGTGTAAACGCGTTTTCTGTTTTTACAATAATTATGTTCATACTAGAATAATATAATACAAGAGACAAGATATTTTTTTACAAGATTTTGACACTTCTCTATATGACATTTCTGTTATATACATGAGGAGTGCATGATAATGCAAATTATTCTCTTTACCATTATTACATTAATTTTTATACTACAGTTTTTAAAATGGACCAAAAAATATAAACAGTACTAAATACTGAGAACATATTCTTCCAATCGTTTAAAACTTTCAACGAGAGAAATGCCATATATATATATATATATGTATATATATATATATATAGTGCAAAAGAATTTTATTTCAGTATTATATTTTATTAATAAATTAACAGTTCACTCATAATATATGTGTGAATAAGTAACCATAATAAATTCATCTATCCAATTATTAAACTGAAAATCAACCTTAATTTTAGATCAAATAAAATACATTTTTCGACATTTTCTATTAATACTTATTTCAATGTTGTTCTATATCAATATATGAAGAAAGAACCTAAGCACATATAATTATCATAACATTTGTTGGAAAAAACCAAAGATTGTTCACAATATGCTGAGATATTCAGAATTGTTTTCTAACATATACAAAATTCATAATAACAATTAAAAACGTTCTAATGTAGCATAAGCTATTTTTCCCATACAGTGTACATGTGATTATAAAATAATCATGTACTTAAAAACAATTGCATCAAAATATTAAATGAAATGTGTATATGTCGCATACATTTAATTAGCAAAAGTGCAAAAATATAAATGAAAAAATTATTGAACACGTGAATACATATTTAAGTCATAATTATAACAGATCCATAAATGCTTAACGTGATGTATAGACATAAATAGCATATGCTACTTCTATTATAGTGTACTCAATGTATCCCACTGGAATTTCTTATATTAAAGATTATGTGCATTTGTTTTAATATTACTATTATCGTTGTTCATAGGCATTCATTATAAATTGTATAACAGTGATTCTAATTGTTCGAAAAAATATTTTTCAAATAAATAAATGTTTAAATTAAAATGTAACATAATCACAGACATTTTTTACGAGATCCTCTCGAATACTGGATATAATATATCACTTATGCCTTTCAGTTCATGAAAATAAGAAGAAATAGAGGTACGATTTCAATGGGATACACTGGAAAATCAATAAATTCGATGCATTAAAAATTTCGACTTAACACACATTCATAACTAAATAAATTAAGAAAAATTCACTAGAATCACCTGCACTTTAGTGTCTTGCATTGAGTTCTAACTAACGATTTGAGTAATTATAAATTAATCGTGTCCAATGTGTGCGAATTTCTAGATGCACTGTTGTCCTTTGGTGATGTTGTGGCAATGTTAACTTGTTTTGTAACATTGTTCGTAAACGGCATAGAAAACTTAAAATCAGCACCATTTGGCAATTTGCGCATAATTTTTCCGGACGTGATAAGTCTGCCGAAACCTTCTTGATGAGCGAAGGCATAGCCCGAACGTAGAGATCGTCGTGTACGTCTCGTAGATGGTGTACGCAGTATATCCTGACTTTGTCGGGAACGCATTTGTGCCAGCCTCTGCTTCAGTCTGACCCTGTCGGACAATGTCGGCCTGACATCCATAAAGAAGAATCGCCACGACAGTACTGGTATAACGAGGATTATACAAGATATCACCGTTGTGAACCAAAAAGTCGCCTCCGACATAGCCTGTGAACGCAAGTTAAATGCTTAAAATACTTGAAATTTTGAAGAACTTAAAGCTCCTGGGACTCCTCGCTGACCATGTTGGAATTGTGATGTCAGAGGCGAGAAAAAAAACACGCTAAAAATTCTTAGATGCCATTATAAAATAAAAAAAATATTTCGATGACACAGCACTTCAGATGGCTTTAGTACACTCTTAAAATATCTCAAAAATTATCCTTTTCTTTTTATAATCAATCAACAGCTGTAAAATGACTGTAATATGAGACTCAGTTCAGATTGATTGTCAAGGGAAAAGAATAATTTTCGAAATATTTTAAAATGTGCTAAAGCCATCTGAAATAGTGTTTCATCAAAATATATTTTCATTTAAAAATGGTATTTAAGAGTTTTTTTAGTATGTATACTTTTTCACCTCTAATGTCAAAATCCAATATCTACGCAGCAAGGATCCAGGAGTCTTAAATAATTCGTGCAATGATACGTACCATCGTGAGGCTGCCCACGTAACTACCACCTATGACGAAGTTATAGAAGTAATCTAAAATAAAATACCAAATGAGTGAACCCCACACCATGATGTGGTTAAAAACTGTCCAATACGACGTGTCGAGGGCTATTTGAACGGTCACGACTATAACTAATATAGTAGCTACTACACTGCCCAGCAGCATGTGATCAGAAAGTACGTAACCCTTTGGTGACACCCCATCTTTGTATGTTCCTGTTAAAATATACAAAATGTGCATATATAAATGTATGTTGTTATAATTTGAAAATAAACATTAATATACAACTTTCTTAATAAGTATATGCAAAATATTTACCATAAGGTACTAAAAATAATACACAACTAGCATAAAATCCATGCAAAGCACTCCAACAAAATTCCTTCTTGTTAAAGAGTAAATTCTGCAATCCTGGTGCGTATAATTTTGGATACATTAGACTGTTCTTGTCATTAACATCCTGATCAAAAATGCCAACTGCCAAAACTGGCAACGAGGTATAAAACAGATTGTAGACAGAAATGTACATAGGATCAAATACAGTCTGCAAGAAAATATATACAAAATATGATTGTACCATTGTGTAATTTTCATTGCTTACAAGTCATTTACTACTTTCCACAATGTATTATCAGATAAATTATTAAATTCATATTTCAAATAAATCTCGACTTTGGAGCAAGCTCTTACAAAGGAGAATTATAGATCATATTCGCCTTTGAAACATCATTTTTGTTCTTTGTTTTTTCTACTTATATATCTTTCATTCATCTTATTATTATAATATAATAATAATGTAAAATTTCCAAATGTCTTACCTGTGCACTGAATCCGCAGAAGAAGGCAAACCAGATGTGGCAGAGGGTAAACGCAAAGTTTTTATAAAAAAATACCTAAGAAATTTACTCATTCTGTAATACGACCATCTGCCATGGACCAAAAGTAATCTTTCCAAGAATCTAAATTGTCCTATCGAATAGTCCGAAGCCAATACGGCCTGCAATCCTTCCTGCCCGCTAATACCAACACCAATGTGAGCCGTTTTTATCATCGAGACATCGTTGGCTCCATCGCCAATTGCTAGAGTCACCGCGGATTTATTTTTCTTAATTAATTCGACGACCATCGCTTTCTGTAGCGGTGTTACTCGACAACAAATTACAGCTTTACCTGTAAAATTCGTACTACGTCAAATATTCATTCTAAATATGATCTAAATATGATCGATTCAGACTTACATTGACTGGACACTTCTAGAAAAAGCTGTTCCAGCTGTGGATGCAATGCATGAACTAAAGAATGTCCATTAATGACCACTGCGAATCCTGTCGAATGCTCCATTTCATGTTCATCTTGTTCATCCCTACTAGGATTGTATTCTGTATCACTGCTGTGCAAAAAAAACAGCTTTCAAGCAAAGTATGTATAGTTATTTCAAAATAAATAACGATCTGGTATCCATTTGCTCAATTTCTTAAAAGAAAAAATAGGTAATAAATCGCTCAATCTTATTATTAATAAAAATAAGAAATTTTGAAACTTTATGTTACTAAAATAATGCACATTAATCATAAATGATACGCAGTGCGTTGTATTAATAACTACAGATACAAGAACGTGACACAAGCAACATACTAATTATGTTAATATATGATGATTTCACTAAGATTATATTATTAAGCATACAGAAAGAGAAGGAGTGAATATCAAGCATCATGATAATTTTCGATACCTATGACTATAAATATATCACTAAATAGTAGAATACCTCAGATATGATATGTGCAGTATCTGAAAAATATCTGAAGTGTGATTTAAAAAGTCAGATTTCTACCAATCAATCTATCATTCTAAACAGCTTTAGCTTGGTTATATTGCTGATTATATTATCAACAATAATGTAGCAAGTCTCGATATCTTTGACAGTTGCAAGATATAAAAGATAATTTTTGTAATGCTTTTTAAGTATAAAAAATACTAGATAATATTATATTAAATACATGCAAATCGTTAAGTTGGATCTTTGCGATAGATATAAATAGAAGATGAGATGTACAAAACCAATGCACATACAATAATTAAGCGCTGTTACAAAGTATGATTTGTTATCACATTCTTATAATTGTCCGAAAATAAATGCCTAAAAATGTTTTTATTTCATACTTTCTAAGTAATCATTATATATTATAATTTGAACTGTGTTGCAAGATCCGCAAGATCCACTAGCTTTAAATATAAAGCATAAAAGTCTTCTGTGGTTAATTACAATAAATTCTTATATAATCGCAACAATATAAACATAGAAAGCATTACATGAAACATAGCCACATTCATTATGAGAATTTTTTTTTTTTTTTTTTTTTTTTTTTTTTTAAGGAATGCGTTAATCAGAATCAGCAATAGAAGAAGTTAATAGATTGTACTCCGTCTCTTTCCTGTGCCTGACCTTTCCTTGTCCCACCTGAATGTGACGATGGAGAGAGTCGGCTGTTTTTGTTGGGTCGAGGCTGTTTTGATGGTTTCCAAATATCGCGTCAATTGTGTCTCCACGCCGTCGTAAGTCGTTGCATCTATCACGAAAACATCCGTAAGATCATCCGTCAGCAATTGACACGAGTATCCGATATTGATAGCTGTCTCTGTGAAAGTTCAATGTGATAATAAATCTGTTTTCAGCTGAACTGGCTATACTAATTCAGAGTTTATCTCTTTCTTTTCAATGTAGAGTAAAAAAAGATAAACTCTGAACTAGGATAGTTAGTTCAGTTGAAAAGAATAATCTTAATATTACTCTAACACATAATAGTTATATTCTTAAAACATTTACCCTGCTTGTCACCAGTTAATACCCAAAGCTTAATACCAGCGACACTCAGATTGGCAATGGTCTGAGGTACACCGTCTTGCAATTTATCCTCAATGGCAGTAGCACCTAGCAATGACATATCTTTCTCTATCTCTTCGTAAATTGCATCCAGCTTATCGTCTCTATTCTCTTGGCTTAATGCCGCTTCTTGATGACGTTGTTTCCAATTATTGAAAAAGCTTTCGTCCAAATCCCTCACGGAAAGGCACAATGTTCTTAAACCTTCGCCTGCAAACTTATTTAAATGATCCAATGTTTTTGCCATTATTTCTTCGCTGTCCTTTTTCAATCGCTCGTAAATAACATTATCCGCTCCTTTGCAGTACAATCGAAGATGTCCGTCTTTCCTCAAAATTACAGACATTCTCTTTCGTACATTATTGAAGTCCAAAATGCAGAGTAATTCGTATATTTCCTTTCTCCCCATCACTTCGATCGTTATGCTGTTGGGCGATCTTTCCTTGAAGACAAAACCAAAATTTCTAGCAGCGGATACGAGGGCAGCTTCGTCGGGCGACTGCGCTTGGTATTCGATCTTGCCATTTTTGTCTTCCGGCATAACAGTGTGACAGAGTGCCAGCAATCTGAAAAAACTGTGGACATCCTGATTCTCTCGATTCACGGCTTCAAGCAGTGCGGGATCGTAAAACTTGAAGTCCGGTTCGTAATCCTTGTTAAACGAGAAATCCAAAGGTGGCATTGTCTGTAAAATGTACGACGAAATCTTTCAAGAATTTTGCGTTTGTTATTCACATATATTAATAACAAAGTTAGTTAGGTAGAAAGAGAAGAAAGTTAATCTTATTAACGAAAAAAATCCACTGTTGTTAAAAAACAAAATAAAAAGCTAGACCAAAGCTAGATATTTTCATACGTATTACTCAGAATAATATACTTTGTCTCCATAAAAATAAATTCATTAATTCGTTAAAAATACATAAGTTTATATATATATATATATATATATATATATATATATATATATATATATATATGAATTACCTCTGAAGCATGTATAAACTACAAGAAAATTATGAAAGAAGTTAGTCTTAACACATTAATATAGCAGAAAAAAAATAAGAGCAAACAGTAGCGTATCTATTTTATAAAGCATAAAGTTGTAACGTGCAAGAGAACACGAATGCGATACAAATATAGTTCATAAGTCATCAATACAGATATGATTGAGATACGAGTTACTTTATTGAGTGCAACAAAGATACTAGAAATGCTTTGACTTACATGATACTGTGCGTGATATAGAGTGCAATGATAAACAGATAATGTTGAATGTAATGTGTACAATCGCAATGACAAACAGATAAAAAGCGATAGCATGTACAGGTTCCGTGACAAGAGGTGCTAATTATCAACATGCGTACTGAAGACTTGTGTGGAATCTTTGGGCTGCCGTTGATGCCAGGTTCCGGTGTTGTATTGGATACTCTATCTGCTTGTTCCAGAAGACGTACATTCGGACCACTTAAGGGTGTATAAACTGGACGTACGAATTCCTGTCCGCTCTTCCATCGCATCGTCGGCATTGGAACAACAGCTTTGTCCGTCTATACATGCAGCACACACATGCTAAGTGATGTATATGAAATCTCTTGCAAAGATACGACCATGATACGTATTGAAATTATATTTACATGTATGTAACTAAAGGAAAACATCGTGTATGATTTAAAGAAATCACAATGTATATCGACACTCAGAATAATCTACAAATTATAATAAGCAATGTGTGCGAGAACATTTTCAATACTAATTGCATACTAGTGATATATGTTGTAACATGTTTTGCTAAAACAATTGCAAAAAAAGGATACATTTTATAATTTCTCGCATAATCATTATCAGTTGTAAATTATATTAAAATAATGAAAATTACAATAAAAAGGAATATATTAGAGTAATGTTATATCATTATATTAAATAATATAATGTTATATCATTCTATCATTGAATTCCCAATGCAATACGATTCCACTATATACAATAACAAAGAATTTTCAGCGGAAGCATATATGACTAAATATCTTTTTCGCGCAACATTGGAAGCATAGCTCTAAAATGCAGATAACGTTTAATTTCTCTTATCGTGTACAATATATATATAATTTTGTAATAAGTAACATGAACATGTGTAGCACGTACCCTATCGTCAGCATCGAGAATTAGAGATCTTCGCATTAATGAAAGAAACGACTCACCTCGCTCAAATCGATGATCTCGCCGGTAACTTCATCGATGATGTCGCCATAACATTTTCCTGCTACAGAACACTTGTTGAAAGTCATTATGTTCTGCGTCAATGTCCCGGTTTTATCAGAGAATATATATTCTATTTGGCCCAACTCTTCGTTTAACGTGGTAGTCCTAGCTTTAGCGTGCGTTTTTGTGGGCGCGTAGTACATTTCCTCATCCCAATTTATCAAAAACGATTGAACGAATCGAATAACTTCGACACTCACATATAAACTGATTGGCACCACTGTGTTCAATACGATTGAGTACGAAAAGAACACGAGTAGGGCGATCACTGTGGCACCGGTTATGGGCTCGCTCGGCACTAAGGAGTCCCATGGCAAATACGTTTGGAAATAACGACCTACCAGGCTTTCCCAAATACCACAGCCGACCATGCAGAATAAACATAAGGAAAGTAAAAAAAACACTATCCCGATGATGAGAAGATTCAGCAGCCTATCTATAGAGGTCCTCTTAAATTTGGTCTTCCCTGAGTTTTGCATCAATTTGGTATCCTTGCCTGCAAAGATCACCATGCCATAGCACCATTGCGTGTTCCTGAGGACGCAGCCTCGTAAAATAATCTTGTCGTTATCCAATGCGTACCTGCAATATTTGCAAAACATTAATGGCGATATATTTCACTCGATATATATATATATATATATATATATATAGATAATTAAATACACTCGATACACGCGCAAAACAAGAACTAGCTATTTCCAGTTTTTGCAAGAAACGTGATCAACCGCGGAATATTCCATTTAAGCTACACTCCGTTCTCTTTTTTTTCTTTCATTTACGATATTAAATCAATCTTACTTCTGTCCTCTCCACGTGAGAGTTCCATCAAATTTATTCAACAAATTATTCGGGGTTTCGCAAACGATCTCTCCATCGAATTGACCAATCAATTCATGATTATCCATCATCTCGGCGGTTTCGGGCAGACACTGACGACATTTCAAGTTCGTCTCCCTGTACAAATTTCACAGATTATTGCAATGGTTTATCTCTACAGATGTGTACATGTTTAATTGTGTATAATTGAGCGATTATTTAGACTGTACCCGTCCAATTCTGCTGTTTCGATATAACAGAGACCGTTCGGCTCGCTCGTCGTCAGGAGCAGAACGTCCGCTGCGACAAACTGATCGTTCTCCATTCTGATTACATCGCCCACTTGAACTTGCGACCATTTCTCCTCGCGAAGATTAGTACCCCGCAATGTTCGGGATTTTCTATTATTTACTTGAGAATCGTTGCTATGCCGTTGCTAAAAATTCATCAATTACCACACATTATTTCGCGAATATTTTATTTTTTTCTCCAGGGTGTCTACTCAAATTTTGGAGAACTGAGAATTCCCTGATTTTTAAAATTACAATTCCAATAAATGCAGATTTTTAATATAAATTTCTGTATTGTATTTCTAATGTTTCAATACATACAATTGCAAAATTATCAATGAGAAAGAAGAATGCATTTAACATTAATTTATTAATTATAAAATTAATTTGGACAATAAGAAAGTACGAGTATCATCATACCTAAACGCTAAAAATATATGCAAAAATATAAAATAAAATTATGAAACAAATATAATTTATAAACTTCTTTTAAGAAATACTAACTTATTTAAATTAATTATTTATTTAATTATTAATTATTTATTTATTTATTTATTAAATAGAGTACTAATTTATTTAAATATTACCTATTAAAACATCAAACACGTTTCTATTAAACTTATATAAAATCTTGATACTAAAAATAGATGCCAAATATTGCCAATAAAAAAATCTAATAAAAATTTAATTATATTAATATTACAAAGATATATTAGACATATATTTCTTAAGTGCTAAATAAGAGTAAGAAGTTATCAAAGAAGCAATTTTTTAAAAAATTTCCTGAATGCCAATTAAATTCCATGAGAATTCCCTGATTTTTTAAGGTAGAACAAAATTTCCTGAGAATACCAGGTTTTCAAGCTTTCTCCCAGAAGAGTATACGCCCTGTTTTCTTTTCAAAAATTTAATCATTTTTTTATCTACATATTTCTCTAAAAGACGTTTTCAAGTTTGCAACTACTTGAGATATCAGTTTTGATACTAATTTTTAATATAGAGCTCATTCGATCGTCTTTGTACATTTCCACAGAATGTGGTGAAAATAACGAGAGCAATTTAATGATAAGAAAAGAAACTTACAAAGTCGTCGTAGGCATCTTTGACGGCAGTGAGCGTGAGCACCCCTATAAGCGGTATGGCTGTGGTGATAGGGGTTAAGGAGGATATGGCGGGGATCATCTGAAGCACCAACAGGCATAGGAAGTAAAAGTTAGCGAGCCGCTGAAACTGCTCGAACAAATTCAATGGTAGGAACGTCAGAACCGAATACTTGGACGTCTTGATGTAATTATTCTGCAAAATAATAAAAATATTCGTACGTAATCTTTTTGTCATCCCCTTCAAACATTAATTTTTTTTTTCTAACAATATATAATTTTTAATTTTACACAGAGAAAATTGTCTCTTGTTTACCCTGAAAAAAAATCACGGTAATCATGGAACAATATGGTATTGGAAGAATTTTATGAGAGTTCCTCTGATTGATGTTTATCACAATAAAAAATATTAACATCTTAAGATATAAAAAATATGTTCCACTAAATTAATATGTTTTATTGTGGTAAATATTAATCAGAGAAATTCTTATACAAATTTTTTCAATACCATATTGTTCCACAATTGCCATAATTTTCAAGATAAATTTCAAGAGAAAATTCTTTCCGTGTATATTTATAAGACTCTAACAAAATAGTAAGAAATACAATATAAATAAATATAACAAGATTTTCTCTTACCGCATAATTAAACTGTGAGTTGTACTCGCGATTGTTGGCGCGAATCCGCCTCTCTGTTTCTGTAAAGATGACAAAATAAACAAAACACTTATTATGTGTACATACGCCTTTAAATTTATAAAAAAATAATCAATGATTCTCATTAAATATTTGTCATTTGCATTGCAAGTAACATAAAAATATATATATATTGCATTAAATAATTAAAGATATTAAGAAAAAAATCAATTTGTTCGCACGGATTGTACAACTAGATGAGATTATTTTATAATACAAAATGCAATTCGAACGATCGTGAAATGGAAGAGACACTGTTACTCTATTGCAGTTGAATTTTTTCGTAGTTAATCGAGTAATCTATAACGTATTGCTTTACACTCGCTCGTTATATATCTATTGCGGCAGTTCCGCATAACTGGATAAACTATTAATCGTTGGCTTGTCGTGCGAAATATTGTAAAGTCCAGCGCAGTAGTGTATTATACCTTATACCACGAAGAAACGATCAAATCGATCTTACGTAGCGGGCACACCTCACTGTCACGTATTCGTGAAAAGTACGTGGGTGTTACATATACACTCATATTTTATTTATGGAATTTAATAAATTATTCGAATGTCCAAGGTGCGGAACCTTGATAATCTTGCAAAGTAGACGTTTGCTGAAACTTGCATTAAAATAACATTGATCGTAACATTGATCGTCATACCGTTGCGTAACTCGCGCATGCACCATTCTGTCCTGCGATAATTACGTCGAGAAAAGTGATATATAAACGTAAATACAATATGTCAGTTAAATAGAACGCGTACACGGCCGGTGCCAAATCGCGACTGTGTCAAGGAATCCCTGTGTCGTGAATCCCTTTTCAAAAAAAATTTCCCCCAAAAATTATTATTATTAATAAGATACATAGTCGCGCATATAAAAATCAGATATAACAATTTCTGCAGAGCAAGAAATTCTCTCTATATGTAGCTGTATGTATCGACATTTGCCTACGACACGAAAAAAAAAAAAAAAAAAAAAATATATATATATATGCACAAGTCGGAGTCTAGAGATCGCAATCATCGCTCGGGACCTTGACTGGGACCAGCGGTGCGACTCCCAGGGAAAAAGAGAAACCCCCCGTGGGAACTCACCGCTGGAGAAGAAGGACGTGCTACGACCGATGCACTCGGTGGCGGGCGGCGAATTCGGCGGCACCGACGAGGAGGACGAGGCGGCGGTGGCAGAGCGGTACCTGGTGCCCTTCCAGATCACCAGCTTGCCCAACACGGTCAGCAGGGATTCCCGTAGGGTGTTGTGCCGGCTACCGCCGCCCAGGCTGCTGCACGAGTCCCTCTTCGAGCACTCGCCCACCGCCTCGACCTCGTCGGAGGACGAGCCGAGGACGAGCGCGTGCGACCGCTGATGCTGACCACCGCTGCCGATCGTCACCTCCAGTTGCGGTTGCTGCAGCTGCAACTTGCTCCGCTGCGTTTTCCGCCGCTTCTTCCGCTTCCTGCGGCTTCCTCCGTTATTACCGACGCCGCCGCCGCCGTCGCCGTTGTTGTCCTCTTCCTCAGCCTCCTGCGTCGAACATCTGCGGCTACCTGGCTCGCTGCTCCTGGACGTCCTCGCGGTACCACGACGTAGCGACGCATCCGCTAATTCGGCCTCGTCGTCGTAATCCTTCACCTTATGGTCGCGCGACATGAATACGCTCACGTTACTCGATTCACGTTCAAGGACGGTAGAAACGATCGGTCGAGGACACGCCGTTTGGCACGATAGATGCGCTTTTTCGTGTCTAATTTTCATGATCATGGTAAAAGAATATGGGGATTTTCGTGGCTTATTACGCGTGATTTCTTTCGTAGAGAAAACCGAATGAATGGAGATCGGGGGTGCAGGATAAAGGTATGTGATGAAAAATTAATGTGTCGTGAATACAAAGGATATATGATCTCGTTAATGCGAAATTGTTAGAAAAGATCAAAATCAAGATTTTTCTTAAGACGAGCAGATTCAGGCGACTATGGTGTGATTATTTGATTTAATACTTGCCAAAGTATACAATAGGATTAAATTAGGCGCCGCCGTCTACTTCTGCAAATCTTGTTTGCGTCGACGTTTAAAAATAAATCGGCCACTTTGAGAAACCTTACAAAACTTCGCGACATTGATCTCGCAATATTGCATTTTTACTAGAAATCGCGTTGCCTAAATGAAAAACTGATCTTATTCAAATCAATTAAATGATAATTAATTTGTTAAATCTCTCGCGGGAATAATTAGCCACCATACCTAAATTTTAACTATGTAATGGTAATTAATATTTTTTAACTATAGTTTAACGGAAAATTCTCCAGCTAAAAAATATTAGCTATCATAGCTAAAATTTAGACATAATAATTAAATTTCATGTGTAATATACACGGAAAATTTTCTCTTACAATTAGAATTTATCTTGAAAATCATGGTAACCGTGTGACAGAATTTTATAAGAGCTTCTTTGATTAATATTTACACTATACAATAAAAAATATTAATTTGTACATATTAAAATTAATCAAACATATTTTATATCTTTATTGTAATAGATATTAATATTGTTTATTTTAATAAATAATAATCAGAGAAACTCTTATAAAATTATTCCAATATCATATTGTCCCACGATTATCATGATTTTCAGGGTAAATTTTAAGAGAAAATCTCTGTGTAGAAACAGTTAAAATTTATACATTACTGTTTTCTACGATAAATAAATATTCAGACGAGAATGTTGCGATAATGAAAAAAATGAATATACGCGTGCGTGTGTGTGCCTCGATTGGAGACATAACCATCGTTATAATATACTCTTCATGCGCGTAAATATCGATTGCACCGTGTGTACTACTTTGCCAGCAGTTTACCCGATTCATGTGGTGTATAAAATAAACTCGCCGAAGATCGTGGGTACTCTAGAAAACGCGTGAAAAGCAGCGCGGCGTGTATATGAGAGTATAGATCCGCGCAACACGCGTGCATGAAAACATGTCACGGACAAAATGCATCGAGACATTTTTCCGGTACTCGCGATAAAAAGCTTCAGTACATCGATAGACGTAAAAGTTAAACGACTATAAGAACTTTGTTGAGTTATAAGCCGCGAGTGCGCGTTTGTCGTCTTTGAATTTCCTTTTTTCTCTGTGAATGACGCGCGAAAGATCTCTGTCAAAGTTTAATGATGATGTGAGAATATCAAAATGCATATAATACATATGCATGAATTGTTCGATGTTGAGATGCATCTTATAATTTTCTCATAATTTTTTAACGTCAGAATAAATATATCGATTTATTGTATTATTATTGTGTTATCTAATATCTCTAGTCTAGTATTATATATATTATCTGGATTATTTTTCAGTTCTTTTCAGTTCATCCAATTCGCATGTTGACTTTACATCACGTTAAAATTCTCGGTAATAGCTAAAAACATGTACGGAGCTTGCTTGACCAAACTGTACGAAAATTCGACTGACTGGCTCAAATACTCCGATTTACTCTTGCAAGCTGGTTCGAAGTTACACGCGATGGCAATTTCATGTGTAACAAGATTGAGCTTGCATTTAAGGAAATACAAGACGGTTGTTGATGCGAAAATAAAATTTTACGAAGAAATTAGATCGTACAAAAAAAAAACTTATATTTTATATTTAAAAAAATATTTTCTATATATATTTTTCTCGTAAAAATTTGCACACTTTCCATAATTGAGATATTTACAAGTGGATTATATACATCAACGATTATATGACAAGGTAAATCAATTAGTTTAAGTATCTTTTTGACAACTAAGTATGAATGGTCTGACTGTTATGACTAATAAGATGCAATAAGAATCGAAACTGGGTAAGGATAGGGATGCATCCGTATTAATCTTGCAAATTATTAAACAGACATATGTTTCGCGGTATGTAATAACTCAATCATGTTCACCAACAAAGTCACGTTCAAAGCGCATTACTTGTCAAACAGCACGCGGGCCAGCGAACGGAAGTCTATTGCATAGTATCGAAAGTTGCATAACTCTTTAGCCTCGATGTTGCGTACTTGAAAAGTCAAATTGCTCTTCCAACGAATTGTGTTCAATTCGCGGTAGAATAAAATCAAAAATTTTTTGCACATCTTGCGAGCGTAAAAAAATATCGAATTTTATATGCACATGTATATTATGTACTGTAATTTTTTGTAGTACTTTGTAATATTTATTGTAAAATTTATGGTATTTATCGTAAAATTTGAAAAATCTACGTATATCTAGCAAATATACATATAACATGAATTAATCAAATGTTTTTAAAAGGAGATGCAATCAACATATATTTACTGAAAAACATGCTTGACTTCTTCGCATCGTATTATGTAACAGGCTAGTGTAACTATAATTCTATAGTGTGTAATCATTAATTTTACGTAAGCACAAGTCATATGTAAAATCAGATATTTATCATAAAATACTGAAATTTGCTAATTATACACATAACAATCTTTAGAGAAAATATCATCTCTTCTTTACTTAATAAAAAATTATTCAATAATAATATAATTTATCCATTTCCTCTACATTAAAAAAAGAAAAAAATAAAATTCTAATATATCAAAAATTTCTTTCGTTTGACTTTTTTTAACGAAACAAAAAATTCTAAAATATTTTCTCTTAATCAGAAGTGTCGCATAAGACGATAAAGCAGAAGAAGTTAAGCAATTAATAATAAATTCGAATTTTCATGTATATAAATTATTCAACAATAATATAATTTATCCATTTCCTCTACATTAATATAACGTAAAAAACAAAAACCAAAAATGCTAATATATCAAAAATTTCTACTTATTTGAATCTTTTTAATGAAACAACAAAATTCTCAAAAAGTTGTCTCTAAATCAAAGATGTCGCATAAGACAATAAAGCAGAAGTTAAGCAAATGAATAATAAATAGAATTTTCATGTAAATGCAGCTGATCGTGTCAAGCATTTCGTATTTTCTCGCATCTCCTCGTTATCTCCTCCAAAGAGGAGCGATCGCTTCCTTTTGACGCGTTTCGCGGCGACTTCCGTTCGTCGCGTCCTCGAGAGGGGTTGAAGACTCACCTCGAAGACCTCGAGTTCCAGCGTGTCGACCTCGACGCTCATCGTCTATCCTACGCAAACTATAAACCCTCTATAAGGCCAACCTCTTCTGCCACCTTCTGGCACCTGAGCCACGCCGCCGCCGGCGGCGAGACGACCTCGTCCCGTCCGCTTCGCGCTTCGCCTCTTACATAGTTCTTCCACCTGGGGCCCACCACCGTCTTCTCGTCCTCGCGGATCATTGCGGGACCGCATTAGTCCGCCAGCTGGCCCCTCGTGATGCCAATTTCTCTGTACCCGGCCACAGCACCACTACTGGACTGCCTCTCGTACCGGCGATCCAGTTCTCCGATCGACATTCTTTCGTAAGGGTCGCTCGAGAAACCCCTTCGATTCTCCGCGAGAAGAAATTTCAGGGAATTCTGTCGGGTCTTCTCGGGTTCCGTAAACGCGTCACGGAAATCTGGAAGATTCGTGGAAGTTTTGCCCGTTTTGCGAAACACAAGAAACGTTCTTCCTGCGGGACGAAGTCTTCAAACATCTCCTCGATGCGAATGCTACGCCTATATTTAATGATAAATATGTGATCGTGATTGGGGAGTCGTTCGTGGGGAGAAAAGATGGTGTAGACGACGAATGAAAAAGACTGCAATTGAAATTATTCGCAACGGGATTGCCAGGACATTGCTAATCGTCCCTTGTGGTCGATTTTTGGAAACTTTCCAAGTAGAGATTAATCGTTACAATAGCGAGAGAGCACAAACTTGTAGCAAAATTCCCCCACTATTATGTTATTGCTTCTGTATTATAACTTTTTGAAAGAAATACCTATATTTATTTATATAGGTTAAACACATTTTTCCTTCGCAATTATTCGTATCAATCTTGCAACTATAAAGATTACTTCAGGTTAATACTAAATTGCCATGTATAAGAAAACAAGAAATGGTGCGTTGTTATCATTATTATATTATTATTATCGCGTTATTCTCCTTATATTTGATTATGTGGTTAAACGAGTTATCTAATTCGCCTTCCTGACGACTTTTGTTATCAAGGAAACAGGAAAACGTATAAAATTCAGTCAGATTATTGCACTTGGAATATTAATTTAGGACCAATTAATATTTAATACTGGATTGTTTTATTCAGAAATAAAAATAACAAAAATAATATTTAACTTCTTATAAAATAAAAAAAAACGTACAGACACATTTACAAAAACTGCTATTTAAAATAAGAAAAAAATTATTTTGATTTATTTAAAAGATTATTTTAAGATTATTTAGAATCATGCTTTTCGAATAAATCGTAATTCATAAATAAAACAAGAAAAATTAGCAAAAAAAACTTTTTATAGCAAATAATTATTTTACAAAATTGCACAAATGGAAAGTAAGCAAACAAATAAATAAAATAGTCAATAGATATACTAAATTGAATAGTTAAATGGGATTAATATATATGTTAAAATAATAAACACAGAAATGTCCATATTGCATTTATCGTATATGTTAAACTATTCTTAACTTGAATAGACGTTTCTCAGCCTCGTGAAAACATGTCACAGAAAAAGATTGCAACGCACACTTATCCACCCACGTGTAAGCTAAGTGCCACGTTTGTGTGTCAGTAACCGGAGATGTTCGCAATAAGCGGATGACAGCGCGGTATCCTGTTTTCTAAAGCCATTTCTCAGTAATTCTAGATAGTACGCCCATGAAATCACCTGCCTATACTATTTATGCGTAAATAATAATTGACCATTCTCGAAAGCGGCGCATTCGTTCCGCTTGCAGATCAGAATGACCCATCGGATAAGTAATAAAACGGCACAATCGTGTATCGTGAAAAGACGCCTGCATTTCCGTCCGTAACAAGTTTATCGCGAATAACGGAAGTGCAAAAAAAAAAAAAAAAAAATTTAAGACTGTTTTTCTCATAATTTTCTCATAATTTTTTAACGTCAGAATAAACATATCGATTTATTGTATTATTATTGTGTTATCTAATATCTCTAGTCTAGTATTATATATATTATCTGGATTATTTTTCAGTTCTTTTCAGTTCATCCAATTCGCATGTTGACTTTACATCACGTTAAAATTCTCGGTAATAGCTAAAAACATGTACGGAGCTTGCTTGACCAAACTGTACGAAAATTCGACTGACTGGCTCAAATACTCCGATTTACTCTTGCAAGCTGGTTCGAAGTTACACGCGATAGCAAATTCACGTGTAACAAGATTGAGCTTGCATTTAAGGAAATACAAGACGGTTGTTGACGCGAAAATAAAACTTTACGAAGAAATTAGATCATACAAAAAAACTGTCTTTTAACAATAAAATAAAAAAAATTAATTTTCCAATAAAATTTCCAATAAAGTATTAGATTTTTTTAAAAGCTATCACAAAGAATATATCTTAGAAAGAATATAAAATTATATTTATTTATGTATGTTTTAATGCAGTTAATAAATTGTATTAAATTGTATTTAATGTAATTAATAAACGCTCTGGAGAAAATATTTGTCAAAAGCAAAGTATGATTCTGTCACGTATGAGCATACGTATACTTAGAGCATATAAGTCCTTCGAAGAGCAGCGTTCAGCGCGCTCTTCGTCGTCCTTGATCTCTATTCTAGAATGATGTCATCGTTCGCCAAAGCCGCCATCAGCCTCCACCACTTCTGTTCTTGCGTCTAGCAACAAAAATACCCGGACTTCCTCCCGAAATAATGGTGAACGGATTTTACAGTGGCCGCGCGTATATTCGAGTCTGACGTTTTCAAACGTTACGACGTCAAGATGTCGAACTATCAGTCAATCGCGCCAAAAAAAGACGCAGAGTTTAAAAGGGCGGCTTTTACATAAGATATGACGATGCTCAAACGGAAAATCATTCCTGATATGTCGAAGTATTATCGAAAGAAATGAAATATATTGCTTAACGCGATACATATCCGATAACACTGAACACGTCAATAGTGGAAAAACTGACATTATATATTCAAGATTTTGCATTTAATAAAAAAAAAAAAAAAAAAAAAAAAAAAATGATTCGACCTTTAATCCCTTGTCGAGCAATTGACTTTATTCAAATAATTTTTTTAAGTTGAATAAAAATACACTAATTATGGTATACATAAATCAATACTAATTATGAATAATAATGAAGGCAATATCTATTACGTAAAATATTAATTATTATTCATCATTCATCATTAATGTTCGTCATCATTGATGTTTCTCTCCCACATTAACAACTATGTATATATTTTCTCGATAGAACAGAGTTAAATTTAGATTTTTCTATTCTTTCAACGAAATCAGCTGTCGGTTTCCTCACTCCGAGAAATCGTAAACAAATCATCCTATACTCGCATAGCGTTAAGTATAGATTGACGGATATATACGCGGATGTGGATATACGTTCGTCATAATTAGCTCCGGATCTTCTGGCACGGTGTGACGCGCAATAGTTTACAACAGGGGCTTTCACGATCCCGTCTAGATTTTGTCTGGAAGCACCGTTTTCAGCGATAATGGAGCTGTGCGCGGGCACTCCACTTCCGTTGGTAAATGCATTAGCGTGACGATTCTCTCTTCACTGCTATATAGAGTGAACTGCTCTACTACAACGCGACAAATTACTATATTCAAATTTGTATAAATTATATTGTATAAGCATATATAAGCAGAAGATTCGTCACTGAGCTATTATCGAGTCTCCAGTTAGGTTGAGAAAATCCGTTCCATTTTTTTCGTTTTTATCCCGTATTTATAATCAAAATAATTATACAATCATTTTGATTAAATACGGGATAAAAACGAGGAAAATGGAGCGGATTTTCTCAATCCAACCAGAGACTCAATAATAGCTCAGTGACGAATCTTCTGTATAAACATCAATTAAAGTTGCGATTTAATTGATTCTCCACTTCTTCCTGGAAACAGAAGTAAAGGGATACACTTCAAAGAACATTCTGCATTATCTCGGGCACGAAAACAAAAGTTTGACCGGATCGAAAATGTGAGTGATGAAAAGGGGAAAGAGAAAGTTCCGAGCACATATCGCAATCTCGAAAGGTGTCAACTTGCGACCGAAATACATACATACATACATTTTTCCCTCTTCGCGTCACATATATTTATTTCCCTCTTGAAAAAGAATTTTACGAGCTTCGCGCACGCAAGGTTTCCCCGTTCGTTTAATCGTAAAATAACCGGGGACCGTCATCGATATATCATCTGCATCGGAACTCGATAAGAATTGAATTACATACAAAGGCGCTACGTTGTCGTTTTGTAATCGATGACTCGCGATATTGCGCCTCGAATGGCAAAATATCGATTATACATTGATAGGGGAACAATGTGAAATGAAAATAAACGTAACGCGTTCTTATCACTTGCATCATCGCATATATGACAGTTTTCGATATCCGAGATTCGTTGTGGAATTCAAAATTGACAGAGTATTTTATTGGAAGTCTTATTGTTAAATAAAATATTATTCTCCCAAAGACTTCCGATATTGAAGGAAAAATTAACACTGCGATTCAACCGTGAGATAAGACAATGCAATAGATATATTGACGCACGAGACTGATATTATCTGCATTGTCATCATTATATATAGAAATGTCTCGAAGCTATCCTAGACACTTGAATGCCTAAACATAAAACGAAGATTCGAGATAGATCCGACATACTCTTGTGATATTGTACTTTTATGCATCGTCACTTTTTGCAGCCTCTGATTGCTCGAAGATCCGTTATGCAACTCGTATCGTTTTAAGGCGAAGCCAAAGTAAAGCATTCCGAAGAACACGAGCGATATATACCAGGCTGGCTAGAGCTTTTTGCACCTTTAACCGTAGTAACGGCGATGTGTATTCGATAATTGGCACTCGACCAAGGTATCTTGTCATTCCTTTCAATTATCCAGCTTTGTTGATGATACAGCCGGTTCTGTACACCCACACGAGGAGCGCATACTGATAATGAGTCAGGCGCCTTTTTTCTGTCTTTCCCCTCCTCTTTTACCCCTTGCGACACTGCAGCTGTATGGTAATGAGAAATGCTGCGATTGTGTGTCGCACGATGATGTGATGCAGAACTCATTTGGATTAATCTAGACTACAAATCCAAATCCCTTAATGTTTCTAAAAAGCAAATATTATCTTTAAACAAGAGCATTAAAGTACTTTGGTTTCATTTTCTTATTTTTTTTTCTAAACACTCTGTTTAATTACGATTCTATGATTTGATATGATTTTGTAAACGCGATTGAGATTAAATCTTTAAAGAGCATTATACAACTCTCTCTCTCTTTTTTTTTCTCTTTCTCTCTCTAAACTGAACACTCTGTTTAATTACGATTCTACGATTTGATATAATTTTGTAAACGCGATTAAGATGAAATGCTAGATTAATTGTGAATTGTAAAATAATTTGACTATAGCAAAGCAATAATTTATTAAGACAACGTCAAGACATAACGCATAATTAATACGAAATACGAAAAATTAAGCTGCATTTAAACATATTTTAAAATAAACAGTCATTAGTCATCGTATATTACACACATTAGGACATAGGAACTACTGCCGAAAGTCGAAGGAACAACTTCGGTCAGCTCACTCTTGAATTATCGCATAATGAAACAATAATGAAGCAACCCACGCGAAATCGCAATTTCCCAGGAAACGTATACACAAAAGTGGGACGTCCAAACATCGCTGTCGGAAGTAAAAGGTCGTATGGCAATCAATGATATCATATCATCTAGATCCATCTAGGTAAAAAGTCAGAATGTATGTGACTCAAATTTTGAAAAGGGTGTATTTGCCCCCCCCCCTGCAATCAGTAAAAAAATTAAGCATTTGCTCTCCTTTTAAGTAAACACTGGAATTTATTTGCATATTTAATATATAAAAAATAAAACTAACAAAAAAATATATCAACACCTATTAGTACTTGTCAGTGTGTCGATTTCACTCACAACCTTTTATTAAAAAAAGATAAATAAATACATTTAAAAAAATTAAGAGCAAGAAATAAAAAATAAAAAATTTTAATCATGCTTCCTTCAAGAAAAAATCCTGCGAACGCCATATTTCCAACTAAATTAAATCGCAAAAAATATGATCTTTAATTCTTACAGCAATCTTTTCAAGATTTAAAATATTCAGGTTTCCTGTTCCTCGCTCACAGTATATCAGAAATCAGTTTTTAAATAAAATTTATTCTAACAAATGTAAATTAAAACCTAGTAAATAAAATAAAATATCTCTGTAGAGAGATGTCACATCTCGCAGACTGTAATCCAGACGTCTCAAAGACAAAGTATCTCTCGTCAGTAAAAAGGAGTAAAAATAATTTTCAAGATAATTTCCTTTGCGTAAGAGAGAGATCCATCTGGAACACCGTGGAACTTTTTTAATAAATTCCCGCGATTGTCAATATATACACGGCTGCTTTTTCTCTTCCACGTGTATATTTCTCCAGTCGGTCGATCGATCGTATCGCCGGCTGGCTACTCTCGAACTACTATCGTCTGTGTATAATTCCATCCATAGATTGACATAAACAACAATACGTTCTCGGTATGACGCAAATTTGCAATTCTAAACATTGGCACGTTGTTTATAAAAAGTTTTCTGTATTCTCGTATTTCGAAAAGTAGAGAGTTTGTTGATTTAACATGTTTAAAATATTTTTTAAAAATCGTTTTATAAGACTAAAAAAAAAGTTAGAAAAAACTATGATTGCACTTTTAATCTTTTGCTAGAAGACTCTTGTAAAAGATTTAATGTTTAAAAGTGTGTATATAATAATAATAAAAATAAACAGTATTTGCTAAAGAAATTTTTCTTAATATGTTTTTATCTTTACTAACTCTTTTATAAGAAATCTATAAAAAGTTACCATAGAATCGATGTGTGTGTATGTGTGCATGTGTGTATATATGATAACAGAAATCTCTATAGATACTCATCATTAATAGTAGATATTGATAATACAACATAGAGATATATCAAACAATTAAATGATCATTAACCTAATGCGAAAACAAACCAGCTATGAGATATTAATAATAACTGAACTGCTTATATTCCCTACGAATGTCGAACGTTATTAGGTCGTTCTAGTTTAAGTTTTCCAGGCCAACAAGCAGTATCATCTTAAATCAGCGTCCCTACATACAGGATGTCCATTAACATTAACGGATGTCATATAACGACAAATTCTTTAACAGAATTAGATTTATAAGTGAAAAATTTATGACAATTCTCAACTTTAAAAATTTTGACAACTAAAATTTAAATTAAGTTTTTTCTTAAAACATCTAAACTTACTGACTCAACTAATTGCAACTTGACTGAAACTCAAGCTTTATCCTTGAAACCTAGCCAAAAATCTCTAATTTCTAATCCTGATTGTCATCGATGTGATGTTTCTTCTGTCAAATTATTATGCGGAAATCTATTTTAAAATTACCAACGAATGTCAGCGGTCATTATATAGCAAATAAAGACACTCTGCGTGTAACGATACCAATTTTCCATTTATTGCTAGCTAAGCGATTAAATAAGAAAAGATTAAAGTAAATTACGTTGTTACATCTATCATCCGCTAAATTAACTACTAATAACAATAACTATAGCTAATGACAACTTCTGTCCTTTTTTCTCTCATAACAAAGGATAAAAATATCCATGATGAGATGACATATTTTTTGAAAAAATATGACTTTTTAATTAGTTAATTAGTGTAATGAGTTGATTAGTGTAATAGTAGACCTTCGGTAAAAAAAGAACGAATATGTTTAAAAATCACATGAATGCATTTGCATAATTCTTCTGATAATGAAGTAAATGTTTACGCTCTTAGGAAACTCGTTTTCAGAAAAAAATTAGCTTTACTTATACGTCCATGCACAAAATGAACAATTTGTCTCCATGCTACTCCGACAATCTTATGATCGACACTGTCGATCAGCCGTTAGATACACATATAATAGAATTCTCGATAAACCGTCTATTTACCTATAGCCTTGCAATAATTCAGCCACTAGTTGATTGTCCATCTGCGTGTTTGTTATTGATCGCGTGTGCGTTCGTAAAGCACTTGTTAAATATGATTAACGACACGTGGCATGAACGACGCTCTCATTTTCGATGAGACAGCTATACAAAAAAATCTCCGAGAAAAAACGGTATGTTGTTACGCTAATTTCTTTCAGCAAATACATCCACAAGGTCAGATTATGTCCGGCCCGACCCGACCCAATAAACGTCACCATGAAAGACAAGTTAAATAACGCGGTTCGCGATACACCCTGGAAAAGATTTCTAATTAATTAAACTTCACTGCGCGTTCAAATGAAAACGCGAACTTCATCCTGTCCTATCATTCTCTGCGGTGTATCGATCGACGGGCACGCAAATGCGGCTGCAAAATCGAAAAGGTTGAGTAACCTACTTTTCATCCTGAGACGAAAGGGAAAATGCACTTTGCATTCGATAAACGCAATCGACAATCTCATTCTTTTTCGGTATTTGTCTATTTTACAAGGCAAATCAATAACAAAAGAAAAAGAAGATAAGTAAAAAAAAACAGAGATGTAAAACAATCTTCTGTTATTTTTTTCTTGTCTTCTCAGAAAAGGTCGTGCTAAATTCACGAAGTAAGTATAAGCTTCTTTCTATCCCTTCCCTTCGTCTCTTAAATTCGGAGATATTTTCGACCACAAGGGATAATCTCTACGATTTCAATATTTCATGGTACTTTTCCATTCGTCATCCTCGAGGGAGCGACGACTTTACTACGAAGGTCTCGTCAACGTCGTTCTAACGATCGCCGTCCAGACAGAGATACAGAAAGGAGAAAAAGCGATATCAAGACCGTGAGTGAAGTAAAAAAAGCAGTAAATGAAAAAACCTCTATATATGTGAAGGACTCCCAACTATTCGATTTAATAAAAAGATTTAATCTATATTTTTCATTCAACTGGATTAAATTAATTGTTTAATTCATAGAACCGACAGATCAATAACTTAATCAGAAAAGTAAAAGTAAATCTAATGGATATTTCTTGTTCAACTAAAATTAATGAAATTTTTATTTCCAACACACAAACTTTCACGAATTAATTTCGGCTAAACAAATAACACAATAAAGGTCTAATCAACATTTCTCGCGCAAAAAGGAATAATATAATTCATCTCAGAAAATCAAATAATTTTTCCAATTAATTAATCTCTTCAATACAAAACAATAAAAATAACAATCTATACAATTCAATTATACTTTTCATCTAACTGAAAAAAATTAAATTTGTATAGTGACTATATATATATATATATATATATATATATATATATTTTTTTTTTTTCAATTAGTTTACCTTTTGACATCATGCTTTTTTTCAAGCAAAACAATTGACAAAAAATTGACTTAAATAATAGAAATATAGAAAAAAAGAAAAGGGGAGAAAAAGAATGCGAACTCGGGAAAGGAAGGAAGCGCGTGCAGCGACGACGAGGCGCGTATGAACGCCCGAGAGGCTTTTAAACGGCAATCGATCGCCGTCGCGATGAGGTCAACGTTGGTTATCCCCGAGCGAATACGAGGATCAACGCGGAAGAGAGGATCGTCGAACGACGTATCGGAATCTCCGTACAGCCGTATCAACGCCCCTGACAAATTCCCTTGATTATTACTCACGATTATTACGCAAGGATGGATGAGGATGCGATGACGTCGGTAGATACGTGACAGCGAATTCGTATCATGATACCTTCAGCATCACTGCGAAAAACGTTTACGTTGAACATCCGTAGGATTCGCTGCACGATTAAAATGAAAACGTGCAAGACGTCGACCTATGACGACGGTGAAAAGAAACGTCCAGATGGTTCCATCGTCATTATCGTCGTAACTCACAAGACGCGCGTTTCCTCTCTCTCTCTCCTTGCTCGTAGAATATATATATATATATATATATATATATATATTATATATATCGAAGTCGCAAATAGATCAGCCGGTGATTGGGGCGGACACCGTTTTTCATTTCACGTTCAGCACCGGCACCGGCACTGTCACCACCACCATCATCGGCATCATCATCACCACCATCACCGTCGTCGCCAACGTCGTTACCATCACCGTCATCGTCTCGGGAGCGCACCGAGCCGCGAATCGACAACGACGACGAGTCGTTAGCGCGCGCGACAAGACGACTGCTTGATACAACGAGGAGAGCTCGCAAGCTCGTAGCACTCACACGCACCAAGGGTGTCCGCGGATCCTCTCTCTCTCGTCTTCACGGCAAGGGATCACGATGGTGCATCTCACCCGGCGATGGAAACGGAACGGTTGGTTTCGCACGGCACGGATATATACACGCACACAGGGGGCTGGCTGCCCCGTTCTCGGTGTCGAGGTTCGCGCGACCTCGAGGCGTCGTCCAATGACGGCGCCACGCGCCGCTCGGCGTCGCGACGCTGGCGATAACGGCGCGGCGAAAATTCGAGACGACGACGCCGAGCGTCGTCGATGACCACGGGGATAAAGAGGGTTGCTGCTGCACTGGCGGTGGTGAACGCGGCTGCAACCCCGGGATCGATCGAACCTGTTCACCAGCTATGTATCTCCACTACACAGATGGTACGAGCGAGTCGGAAAAGTTCCGGAACACGAGTCGGTAAAACTATTTGCATTTCGTTCTAGAAGAAACGCGCGAATGCTATAAAATAATAATGAATAAATAATAATAATTAACCATTAATAATAAATTTAAAATAAATAAAAACTCCTTTCATACGTATACAATATACATATATTTATTCATATACGCGCGCACATGCAATATGTGATGGATATTATTTGCGTTTGTATCACTGAAATACAGATACTATCTTAGATAAAAATAGAACTGACAATTAAATGTGTAATCTTCGTGAAATGTCTTGTTTGTCAGAATTATAAGAAAGTATAAATATATTATTATAGAAATATATAACTGTTATGTGTGTTACTGTTTCCTTTGTGCACCTAGTGAGAAGATAATGAACTGACCAGTACAATTAAACAGCAGAAAATTGCCGAAATAAATGAACATTAAGGAGTTTGAAAGCAAACCTGGAGTATAATGGTATATATAAAAAAGCCACCATTCAATTTAAAAGAATAGCTCCGAAACGGAGTTAAAATTAGTAAGTAATTGAATCAATTAAAATCATTCAATATAGGTACACTTAACACGATGTATTACGTGTCGTATTATGTCTATTACGTGTACATGCTATTGTTACTAATGAGAATCATTGATGCTGACAAGTGTTATCATAACGTAGCGCGAAAAGACGAGTGTCGCCTCGACATATTAAGATGCAATAGGCGTCGTGCATCAATAAATAAAAATCACTCACCTTGCATAGGCCGCGTGGCAGCGCTGCGCGACATTGTTCGCGTAGTTTTAGGCTGTACTTTCGAGTTAGGCGCTTCTGTGGACGGAGTCTATTGATATGTTCGCCAACGCGGAAGATGACAGTCGTTAGACGACGCGATCTTCCGGCGCGACGTTGGTCGGCTGTTGTAAAGTAGACATCAAACGTGCGTCGACGTGGTATAAAAACGTGGTGCGTACAAAATTCTTCGTCTACCCGATGATCAGTGATCAGCGCCGTCGTGTTATTTCTGGACAGGATCGTCTCACTGCCAGCAGTGATCGACGATCCTCGAACGCGATTCCTCGTTCCCGGAACACGGAAGAGACGAGGACGACGGGTCGGTGGTCGTTTTTCTGTCGCGGGACACAGACGAAGAGGATCGAGGCACGTAGGTGACGAAGGAGACGGCGTTAATGAAGATAACGTTCTCCAAAGCAATGAAGGAGGCCTCCTGCTGGATACTTGACAGCGTTGACGACGTAAGGCACGGCGCGGTGGCACCGCAACAACAACGCTCAGGTTGGATATTCCGCGGCGAGATAATGGCGACAGGATATCCGGTGTGGGGGGTACGGGGGATCCTTTGGGGGTGGTGTCCATGTGGGGTGAATAGTCACCTCCGACCTTCCGTCCCACCTGCGGGCCACCTCCTCCTCCAGGACCTCCTCGTCCTCGAGGTGCCCCAGCTTTCGATGATGCCCGCGGACACCACCCTCGCACGCCGCCAAGTCTCACCGATCGGTTCCCACGTTATTAAGTTTCGTGGGTGCAGACTGTAACAAGGGAAAATTACAAAGATTAAAACTTGAAAATTGAAAATGTTGCTTGGCTCCTTTGCAATTCGCTACTATTCGCCCTAGCGAAAATCTATCCTCAAGAAATCTTCATAAAATATTTCTATAGAATATAGTAAATTTACTCCTTTTATCCCCTTTTGAAAAGAAACGCTCTGGCTGAAATTAAGACTTTTCAGGATTTCATTAAAAAATCGAAATAAAGTTCTTCACAAAAATTCAGCTTGCTCCTAAATTTTATGAAGTCAAAGTCTAATTTTACTGTACTATAGATATATTAAGATTAAAATTTGAAAATTGAAAATGTTGCTTGGCTCCTTTGCAATTCGCTACTATTCGCCCTAGCGAAAATCTATCCTCAAGAAATCTTCATAGAATATTTCTATAGAATATAGTAAATTTACTCCCTTTTATCCCCCTTTTGAAAAGAAACGCTCTGGTTGAAATTAAGAGACTTTTCAGGATTTCATTAAAAAATCGAAATAAAGTTCTCCACAAAAATTCAGCTTGCTCCTAAATTTTATGAAGTCAAAGTCTAATTTTACTGTACTATAGATATATAGTAATTGAATAATATAATATTCAAATATATATTAAAATGTGTTATTCCTTTAAGTAAAACATAAACTATACGTATTAAGATGTTTTAAGATTTTTATGTGTAAATTATACATATATACTTAAAAAATAATCAAATTATTAAGAAAGTAGAAGAGCAATTAATAAATATGTTGATTTTATTAGATAGTAAAATGAGAAAAAATATTTTAGAAAACCTCTTGGCAATATGAACAGCCCAGTCTATCTTTGTATGCATAAAGACATCATTCAGCGACGTTTGATATATAAAGCATCAAACATGCTGACGTTCCTCTAAAAGAATGCCGTGTGACAATATCGAACGGTCAAATGTATAATATTCATATGACATATTTGACAAATGTAGAATTGCGCGAATATCGAACCTAATATTACGATAAAGCAATAGCCACTCTTATAAATTATTGCATAATAAAATTCATGAATTAGTATATTATGGAATTTAAATTAAAATAAAAAGGTAATATTTTTTACATGGAGAAAATATTATAGAAATCCCAATAATTGCGAAACATACATGTAAAAAAATCAATATTTTTAGTCTATAATACTACATTTTATAAAAATGTATTGTAATTACTTAAATATTTTGATGCCCAAACAAAGGCATAATAGTTAATAAATAATGGAAAAAATGCATAATTTGCAATTTTTATAGTAATAAATTATAGTAATAAATATCTCACGATCAGTAATTACTTGTCGTTAGATTCTAGCTTTATAATAAATATAAAAGAAAATGTATTTTTTGTGTACTCAATTATTATGATTTTATAAGTTAATAATAGTCAATATTTCACATATTAACGACAATGATCCACATTTATAAATTGTTCGCACCTTTAATTACAATTTAACGTTACGCAATGCGTTCATAATTTTAATTGAATCTATATATGAAAAGACCGATTATAGCTCTTATCTTAAACATTGTGTATATGAGTTAGTAGATATGAAGAGATACTGTTTTTCTTTTTTTTTTCGAAGATTGATAAATTTATAAATCACTGTGACGTAAATCATATCTCGTTAATTTATGATAAGATATTTATCGATTAGGAATTTAACTATTTGTTTCTACAACAGCTTTATAGTTAATAAATAAATTAACGTATGATACATTTGTCGAAATGATTTATACGCTAATATTGATAGTTATAAATCCATGATGGAAATACACGTTTAATAACAATCATATCGATTATCGTTTAGTTATTTATTGAATTGTTCTTCTGATTATACTTGTTTGTAGTAACAAACTACACATGTATACAACATTAGGCTATACTATTTCTAAATAATTTCATTATCGATTACATTGAATGCTCATGTTAAATTACAGCTATCTTTAAAATATTTTGTTACCATGAACAATTCTGTCGCATTAAATAAATAATTAAACTAATATACTTTAATAAAATATTACGTGACTCTACAAAAAAAAATAAATACGAAGAAACATGATAAGTTTTTACAGAATGTGTGTATAGCTTGATAAATGGAACATTTAATTAATTATGTGAAAATAGAATCGCGTAAAAGATCTTAATCATCAGTTATTAAAATGTTGGTTCATCATTATATTACGTACATGTAACGAATGTAATATCAAATTAAATCTGATCAATCCACGCGCGACCAAATTGCTTATCGGATAGTTAAAATGAACAAGAATTATGTTAACGGCGATCGGTCACGAAAACAAGGGCTTGATGAACATACGGAATATATGGAACGACTAAAATCCAGTTCTCAATCGCGTATCTCAAGGACGCATCGGTATAACCGGACCAACAATACATAGAGACCAATGGTCAATCGAAGCAAAGTCGCGCCAACTACCACCCTCGTTACGTATTCACGTATCCTTGATTCACAACAGCAAAGTTTTGTCGCGTCTGACGTGTCTGCGAACGGCCAGGAATCGTTTATTCACGAATAATTGTTCGCCGTTCGCGATAAGGTCCTTTTCGGAGACGTAAGTTAAAAAAACTCGCGTTATAGACTCGGCGCAGGCGACAGTTTTAAGCCTCGCGTGCGATACTTCTTCAAGAATCATGCGTGCGTTTAATCAGAGATTAGGACGAAACGATCGAGAGTTAATATTATATCACGAAAATGTATAGCGCAAATATTATCACATGATTTTCCTCTCTCAACTTCCTGTATATCATATTTTGTATTAATACCGAAATATAAGCTGTTTCGAGTTTGACTTTTTGCAATAATAAAAAGATAAAAGTATATTAACTCCCTATCTTATCTAGATTATAATCTAATTTTGATAAGTAACAGAGTCTTTTTCTGAGAAAGATATAATTAGGTCTATAAAAGATTAATTATTTTATGGAGGATAATGTCGCGCGACGTTAGAACCTCATAAAAACGTTTCATAATATCATAGAGCTTCGTATCGCGAGGTAATCGTGACGTCGTTTGAAGGTTCCAACTGTAGACATGAATGAGGCCTTAACGTATGCTTTATCGCCCGTACGATGATAATTGAGTTAACGCCGTGCGTGGCATGTGTGGAATGAAATCTGCAACCCAAGGTGGTATCGGGCACCAACTTGTGAGCGCACTTAAACTTGCCTCGCACTCGGAATTAGATCATCTAATGAATTAACGGTTAAT